AGCGCACGCTGTCCGGTGCGTCACGGGGGAGGGCCGCCACCCTGGCTCGAGGCGTCGGCCCCGGACCTGCCCCAGCCTTTGCCGGTGTTGGCTGTCTCTCGATCCCGTCTGGGTTTAAAGAAGGGCCACGGGGGGATGGGCAGCAACCGCGGGGAGGGAGTGGAAGTGTCTCACGCTAGCAGGCCGGTCCTCCCTGAGGACGCTCCTCTGCCACGGGCAGCGAGGTGTGTCTGGACCGAATCGGACACGGGGACTGAAACAGAAACGTGTGGCTTTACTTTGACCGAGTGGGGCTCTGCCCGGGCCCCGGCCGCCCGCCTATGAGAGCTTCGGCCTCGGAGGAGAGCGGCGGGGGTTGGAACGTCAGTGAGGAAGAGTGGGGGGGGCTGCCGTGGGGACCCGGGAGACAGAGGTTTTCCCAGTGTTCCGCCGCATCAAGCATCGTCACAAATAGCTGTCCTCCCTCGCAGGTCCACTAGGGCGGCGACTCATATCCCTGGGGCAGAGCGGCCCTGTGCTGATCGACACTGACTCCTGTCTGGGGGCCGCAGGGGACTCGGGCAGAGGCTGAGGGCGGCGGTGGCAGCCCGAGGTTTCAGAATGTCACAGAAGGTCAAGGGACAGTAGGGCCCTGGGGTCGAACGGTCTTGGCTCTTACGCCCGCGGGGCCGGGTCTCTGAGGAGCAGTTTCGGATCCTGCGGTGTTACTGTTGCTGATCTCCGCACGTGGGTCTGGGCAGGAACTCGGCTCCAGAGCAGTGGCGGCTCTTTCCTCGGACTTTTCGACCGGGCCAGCCAGTGCCGCGTGACCAGCCTGCGAGAATCAAATCCGAAATTCGGGGTCCCCAGCCCGCGGTCATTCACAGCTGGGCCTCGGCATTTGAGAGCGGAGCCAAAGGAGCCCGGTAGTCCTGCGGTTCCCACTGGAGTTTGAAAGCGTCTTCAACGAGTTACTGAAACACTGGTTTTCTCCCGGGCCCGGGTGGGAGTGTGCGCTCGCCGCCAGACATCCGGAGGCCAAACGCATTTTCCTAGGCCTGCTCGTCCTCGGGTTCTGTGTCCAACTCTGGCCTCAGAGACCCTTCTCCTTGGTGACCTTTGCCCCTGATTACGACTTGGCAAACCCTTAGCCAAGAAATCGGCGCTGGCTGCTTCGCTGCTCCGCCCCCTTCCTCCAAGCCTCCCACTTGCCCGGCTTTGCGGGCCAGATCCCGCCGGCTCGCTGCAGCCTCTGCCAAGCCACAGACTGGCCTGAGGCCGATGCTGTTCCCCCCCGCCCCCCTGCTCCCGGGGTGCCCTGAGGCCGCGCGTGATGAGAGCAGGGGAAGCTTTCGACTGTGAGGATGCTTCTCTGTGTGGCCTTGATTCGTTTTCAAAACTGAGCATCACGGAACTGCCTGATTTCGCTCTGGCTCTTCCATTGCCTTTGTAAAAGTCGCGTATCCTCTCTAATCTCCTGCATGTTCTCCGAGGGCCGTGGCTAAGAATTCGGTGTACGTCCCCAGCAGCCGGGCCAGGAGAAAGACCAGCTGAAGCTGAACCGCAGACGGAGCCTTTCCAGGCGGTGGGTCACCTGCGTCCGGGGCCGCGGGTCGGGAGCCCCGCTCCTCCCAGCTGGTGCTCCCTGCCCAGGCGTTTCCGCCAAGGACGGTGATTCCCAATAAAAACCTGACACATGTCCCAGAGGCTTTTCCGTCGGGGAGACACAGCCTAAAAGGCAAGACAGGTGAAATCAAGTATAACGTTCTCCTGAACCAGCGTATCTGAACTACTACTTTAACGTGTCATCTGAAATTGTTCATGAGGTACAGTGCGTTCTTTTCCCCCGAAGTCCTGGAACTGTGGGACCAGATATGTCAGGAGAGAGTGGGGTTCTGCGCACGCTCTTACCCAGTGAGTGGCCAAGAATCAGAGACTCTGGTGCTGATTCATCAGGCGTCTGCGCCCCAGACAGGAGGAGCCGGACTCAGTCTGAGTCTGACTCCTGAGACGCCCGCGGTGCTTAGGGGGGGGCGGGGGGGGCAACGGGACGTTTTCCTGTGCGGCTGCAGCAGCGAGTCCACCGTGCCCGCCGGCTGGCCCACCCCCCAGGGCCATGCACGGCTGTGGGGCAGCTGGACCCGCCCCAGGGGGAGGGGACCGCAGGAGAAAAACCTGGGAAGACAGCCAGTCCCGGCGGGGAGGGGGCTCCCAGCCCACGCCTCGCGGCGTGGCTGTGCCGGCGCAGACGTGCGAGGCTCCCTGCGGCTGGTCTCCTCGCAGCCGACAGTCTTCACCCTGCAGAGGGGACAGGGCCCCGCGTGTCCCTGAGACTGCGGCGTCAGTGTAGGAAGTGGGCGCGAGAGCAGGCTCACTGCCGTTCTCGCAGCCCGGGCGAGGCTTCGGGAGCTCGCCCTGGGGGCTCAGGTAGCGAAGGCAGCGCTACAGTGTTGCGGGGCACCCTGCTCCCGCCCTCCCACCAGGAAGAAACTGGGCAGGTCACAACCCTGAAAAGGAAACAGATGTCTAAGGGCGCGAAGCTTCTGATTGGACTCCGTTCCAGAAAGGGGTGAGCTTTCCTCCTGGAGGAGTGAGAACCGCTGAGCGAGCGCGGCAGCGACTCCTGCAGGCAGGCTGTCGGGAGGCGGGGTCGCGGTGCAGTCGCAGCCCCTGCCCCTGACTGCCCCGGAGGCGTCCCCGAGGGGCGCGGCGGCGGCGAGCCGAGGCTGAGCGCAGGGCGGGCAGCCAGCCGAGCAGGACGCCCGTCCGCTGCAGGGTGCGCGGGACAGAGGCCTCTGAGGGCAGAGGGCGACCCCTCCCAAGGCCAGGCCCTTCAGCAGGTGCCCAGACGGGACCTGCCTGGGGCTGGTGGCCGCGCGGTGAGGCCTGGAGAGAGCCCTGCCGTGGGGTCCCCAGCCCCACGGGAAGGAGCACCGATCCTGCCCTCAAAACGCCTCAGACCGGGGAGGAGGGGCCTCACCCAGAGCAACAGCGAGCACACCCTTTCCCGGGAACCTGCTGGAGAGGCGCGGCATGGGGACAGGAGGGTGAGCCCCCGACGGAGGGCGGCAGAGGTCCCGAGGCCTTGAGGACGGTGAGAGGTGGCCCCGCGCCGCAGCCGCCCCGCAGGCCCGGGAGCGGACGGCGGGGGGACTTGGATGCGGGAGGACAGAAAGGGGGCGCACCCGTCCTTCCCTCCACACACTTGTGCCAGGTTCGCATCTTCACCGCGGCGTGTGCCTCCTCCAGGGACCGCCGCGGACCTGTGAACGCTTTGTCCAGCCTTCCTGGTGGGAAAGGCAGCCGTGAGCGGGGAGGGGCGTCGTTGGGACCAGGAGGGCCTGCTCACTCCAGGCCGATGGACACCCGTCCACGCGGGGCTTCTCCGGGGTGGCCAGACAGCGGCAGCCCTCTGAGCAGGGCCGGTGGGCGGTGGGGTGTTCCACCGCGTGTCCTCCGCTCCGAGACCTTGGTTTCCGATCGTGGGTCTCTGGCGGAAGGCGCGGTGCCCCAGGTCCCCTCTGTCTTTGACCCGTGGGAACTTGGCTCCCTGGGCCCATCTTGACCCAGAAGAACATGTCGGGTCGTAAAACCCGAGCTGACCCTTCCTCCTCGGGCCCCTTTCTCTGCAAACACAGGCGTGATGTCTCCGCCCAGGGTGTGTGGGGCTTGCCGTGCGTCGTGAGTTGCGGGGGCGGGGGGTGGGGGGGTGGGCTGTATTTCACAGCAGTAAAACTGAAGCCGCCCTGCCGTGTGTTCAGATCCCCGCGCTTTCTCCGCTCCTCCTCAGTGAGTTGGGACTAATCACTACAGAGCAACCAGCCAGGTGTGTGAGCCCCTCACCCCGCTGACGGCAGCGCATGCACTCAGGGGCGGCCGAAATCTGGGCCAAGCCCTCAGGTGACTCCCTTGCTGATGTTTTGTTCCACCATAGGAAGCTCCAAATAAATCAAAAGGAAAAAAGTTTCCGGATAGTAGCTAATTCACAAACACGAATCTTCCGCCTCTAGTCCTTGCACACGTGTGCAGAGCTGATGGGCGAACCCACTGGGAACCCAGACGCAGGACTTGGCCGCGAGCTCCGACGGCGCGAGCATCGCGGGTAGAGCGGGCTTCCCGAAGTTCCGTGCGCGGTTCTAGACCCAAAAACCCAAGAACATGTTAGGGTCCCCCAGGAAGTAGTAGAAATGGTGCAAGTCTTGGAAAGCAGGGCTTTGGGGAAAAGGTTGTGGGGGCTTAGTAAATAACAGATGAGCAAAAATAAACTGGTGCGTAGCCAAAAAGGTGAGAACAAGAGGAAACCGGCGTAAACGATGGAGGTGACGTAGTCCACGTGTTCAGAAGACACCGTCTGGCTGTGAAGCCTGTTACCCACAGAAACGGTGACCGGGGGACGTGAGGTCATGGCTGACTGGGGTCCCTTAGCGCGCGGACCGGGGTCCCTTCTGTGGGGACAGGGACATGGATGTGTGACGAGGGCGATGGACCCTTCGGTACAAACTTGCCCTCTGTGGGTCTCACCAGGACTGCGGCGCGTGGTCCGGAAGGGCAGCCGTCTGTCCGGGGGCAGGACCTGGTCCCGGGGCGGAGTGACCCGTAGGAACGGGGCGATGAGGAGTGATCGGGGGGCGGGGCTGGAAGGGGGCCTCTCCCGGGGCCTTGTTTAGAAAATTGAGAAAAGGGAAGGAAAACACCTGGAGACCTGTCTAAAAAGGAACGGAGACGTAGCGGTCACAAGGGCGGAGGCTGCTGACACGGCGCGGGAATCGGGGGGCGCAATCGGGTTGACCCGCCGACTGTCTTGTCCTTCTGGTGCCCCTTTCTGTTGAGGGGACAGAGCCTCTTTTGCCCGAACAGCCTGCTCCTTGAACAAGCACCACCCAATGACAAGGCGGCCCGAGTCTCATGGGGAGCCGCCTGCAAACCCAGCCCCCCGCGTTTCTCCTTGGGCTTTCCTTCGTCACTGTGGGAAATGCCCCAGCCACTAACCTCTGTCCCCTGCCCCCCGCCGGCCCCTGCAGCTGGGATGAGAGCAGCTCCATCAGCAGCGGGCTCAGCGACGCCTCCGACAACCTCAGCTCGGAGGAGTTCAACGCCAGCTCCTCTCTCAACTCCCTCCCGACGACGCCCACCGCCTCTCGCCGGAACTCCACCATAGTGGTAGGCGGCTTTGCGGACCCCCGGCCCGGGCCTGGGGCGGGTGGGCTCACACTCCCGCCCACGCCGGGCCCGGTTCCCCGGCGCCTCGGCCGCGTCATCCTCGAGGCTGCGGGGGGAAGCCCGAGGCCCCCACGCGGCCACCTGGGCGGTGAGCGCAGTGGTGACGGTGCCCACGCCAGCCCGGAGCCGTTCCAGCTGGAGAGGAGGGGAATCGGACACGCGCGGGGCGTCTCCTCTGACCCCCTGGGTGTGGGGGGAGACCCCGGGTCGATCAAGGCTCTGGGAGGAGCAGGGCCGCCGGCCTCCGGCACGAGCCCCCGCGGCCGCCCGCCCGCCCGCCCCCCGCCCCCAATGGGTGTCTGCTCCCTGCAGCTGCGCACGGACTCGGAGAAGCGCTCCCTGGCGGAGAGCGGGCTGAGCTGGTTCAGCGAGTCGGAGGAGAAGGCGCCCAAGCGGATGGACTACGACAGCGGCAGCCTGAAGACAGAGCCCGGCGGCTCCAAGTGGCGCAGGGAGCGGCCCGGGAGCTGCGACGACGCCTCCACGGTGGCGGAGCTGAAGAAGCCCATCAGCCTGGGCCACCCCGGGTCCCTGAAGAAGGGCAAGACCCCGCCCGTGGCTGTGACGTCGCCCATCACCCACACGGCCCAGAGCGCCCTCAAGGTGGCAGGTGAGCCCGGGCGGGGCGGGGCGGCCGGGCCTGCCTCCGGTTCCGCCTCCGGTTCCGCCGTGGTCCCCACGGGACACTCGTGGGGAAGGCGACGCCGGGAGGTTCCGAGGCTGAGCCGGAGCGACGCCGCCGGGGGGCGGGGGCCGGGGGGCTGCGATGTCCGGGGCCAGTTTGTCTGGCCTCCCCCACGGCTCCTGGGTGGGACAGCCATCTTCACAGGGACACGCTGGGCTCCCGGGCAGGCGCTGGAAAGCCACCGGTCGGGCCTGCGTGGCTCCCAGCGCGGCCCCTTTGCACGTGACCCACAGTCCCCTCTGGTCTCCGATGACCGTAGACGTGGCCACCCTCTAGTCCATGTGCCTCCCTCCTTGTCCTCCTCCCGTGACCGGCGGCTGGATTTTCCTCCTGGAAAAACCTTTGTGGTGGCTTCTGCCATTTTATCCAAAATGCAAAGTTCTGCTCCGGAAGCAGAAAACAACGAAAAAACAAAATAAATACATGGAAATCCCCAGTCCCCTTCCTCTGGCAAGAATTGTCATCTGCTTCTGTGGCGGCTGCCTCCCCGTTGTGGCCCCCAGAGCCCTGTGACACGCTGCCCCCGTCTCTCGCGGAGGGAACGAGAAGGGCGAGTACGTTGTTGGCGGAGTCCCGGCTCTTACCTGGTCTCGTGCCCCGTCTCCGGCCTCTTGCAGGCAAACCCGAAGGCAAGGCCGCAGACAAGGGCAAGCTGGCGGTGAGGAACGCGGGGCTGCAGCGCTCCTCCTCCGACGCCGGCCGCGACCGCCTGGGCGACGCCAAGAAGCCGCCCTCGGGCATCGCCCGCCCCTCCACGGCGGGGTCTTTCGGCTACAAGAAGGCCCCCCCTGCCACGGGCACAGCCACCGTCATGCAGACCGGGGGCTCCGCCACGCTCAGCAAGATCCAGAAGTCCTCGGGCATCCCCGTGAAGCCGGTAAACGGGCGCAAGACCAGCCTGGACGTGTCCAACGGCCCGGAGCCCGGGTTCCTGGCCCCCGGGGCCCGTTCCAACATCCAGTACCGCAGCCTGCCCCGGCCATCCAAGTCCAGCTCCATGAGCGTGACCGGGGGGCGGGCCGGGCCGCGCCCCGTGAGCAGCAGCATCGACCCCAGCCTGCTGAGCGCCAAGCAGGCCGGCCTCACGCCCTCCAGGCTGAAGGAGCCGTCCAAGGTGGCCGGCGGGCGGGCTGCGCCGGCCCCTGTCAATCAGACCGATCGGGAAAAGGAGAAGGCCAAGGCCAAGGCGGTCGCCATGGACGCAGACAACATCTCCCTGAAGAGCGTCGGCTCCCCAGAGAGCACCCCCAAGAGCCAGGCGGGCCACCCGCCAGCCAGCAAGCTGGCCGAGCTGCCGCCGACCCCTGCCAGGTACGCGCACGCGTCGCCTCCTCTGCCGGGCTGCCCGCCTGCGCCGGCGTTCTCCGGCAAACCCCTGCACGCCCAGCTCCTTCTCCCTCTTCCCAGCGGCTCTCCACGGTCCTTGCTCATGCCGCTCCCCGATGACCAGCCCTGACCTTCCTCAGCTCCCCGGCGTTGTGGGGTTCGCTCCGCTCCCCCGCAGTCACACACCCAACTGCGCACAGGCCCGCCCGTGTCTCCCACCGCCGGCCTCCGAGGGGTCCCAGGCCGGGCGTCGGCCCCCTCCCCGCACGTGTCACCGCGTCACCGGACGAGCCTCGGGACTCGGCCCACAGCCGGCCGGCGGCTCTAACGCGCTGCTCCGGGTGTTCCGTTTTGTCTTCAGGGCCGCGGCGAAGACCTTTGTCAAGCCGCCCTCCCTGGCCAACCTAGACAAGGTCAACTCCAACAGCCTGGACCTGCCGTCGTCCAGCGACGCCCACGCCCCGAAGGGCCCAGACCTGCACGCCGCCGGCCCCGCGGCCGGCGGCCCCCTCTCCTCCTGCTTCGCCCCCAGCCCGGCCCCCGTCCTCAACATCAACTCCGCCAGCTTCTCCCAGGGCCTGGAGCTCATGAGCGCGTTCGCCGTCGCCAAGGAGCCCCGCATGTACCCCAAGCTCTCGGGCCTGCACAGGAGCATGGAGTCGCTCCAGGTGCCCATGAGTCTGCCCAGTTCCTTCCCCGGCAGCGCCCCCGTCCCCCCGCCGCCGGCCGCGCCCCCCGAGGAAGACGCAGAGGAGCTGGCCTGGAGCGGGAGCCCCCGGGCCGGGCAGTCGGACGGGTGAGTGGGCGGAGTCAGCACGAGCCTGGGTCAGGTCGCCACTGGGCGGCTGGCCGTCTCTTTTACCCGCGTTCGGCACCGTCGCCCGCCTCACGGCGCTCAGAGAGAGGTAGGGCGGTGTCGGTTTTTAATCGCCGTCTCGCCGATGTGGAGGCCGGTGCACAAAGACGGGACGAGGCTTAGCCATGGTCACATCGCTGGCTCGCCCTCCGAAGTGTGTGCTTCCCGTGGTGCCATGTCTGTGGCCTCATGTCCTGCCTTCATCGACCACAGCATGACCCTCTCAGCAGTTCCCACACCCGCATTGCGAGTCCCCGAGAGACGTTTCACGGTTCAGATACATTTCCCAAGCCAGGGCCGAGAGGCGACCGGCGTTCTGCGCTCAGGCTGCGCGGCACTCAGACTGGGCTCCCAGGCTCTAGCTCCTCAGACGGACCCACACGCTTCTCCTGTTCTTTCTCCACAGTAACCAGCGGGACCGGAACACGCTGCCCAAGAAAGGGCTCAGGTAACCCCGACCGGCGCCGCCCTGCCCTGCCCTGCCCCCAGCCCCGGGTCCGCAGGAAACCTGAGGGGGCCTCGCCCTGCCTGCCCCAACACCCCTGCGGTGGCCTGGGCTGAGCTCTGCCGTGCCACCGCCGACAGGTACCAGCTTCCGCCCCAGGAGGAGGCCAGGGACAGGCGGTACTCCCACTCCATCGGCGGGCTGCCCGAATCCGACGACCAGGCAGAGCTGCCGTCCCCGCCTGCGCTCTCTGTGTCCTTGAGTGCGAAGGGCCAGCTCACCAACATAGGTCAGTGCCCCGTCCTGCGCCGCAGCCCGGGCTACAGGGGGGTCACTGGCAGGGGGCAGCCGGCCGGTGGGGCTCTGGGTTTTCTCTGCTATTTGCCTCGCACGGTATTGGGTGGCCTCGAGACGCATCCGTTTATTCACTCAAAATAAGACCGGAGGCGAAGTGCTCCGGGATCCCGGACTGGACGCTGCCGTGGGCGTGCGTGTCCTTGTAGTGGCAGCGGAAGCCCCAGGCGCAGGCCCCGGCTGTCGCTTCCGGGGCAGAGCCCACCCCTGGGCTGGGGGCCGGCCTTGCGGAAGGAGGGGCAGCGGGCGGGCTGAAAGGAGGGGACCTGCCTCCAAACCCAGAAAAACCCAGGGTCCCCACTGCTGGGGCGGGGCCAGGACCTTCCCAGCCCGCAAGGCAGAGTGTCTGAGTCCTGGCCACACCCCTTCCAAAGCCTCGGGGCAGGAGAGCCGCGGAGGACGAAGATTCTGATTCAGAGACTCAGAGAGCAGGCGGAAGACGAAGACCGCTGGGAGGGGGCGGAGGGAGCCGTGGGCCCAGGGGGAGCCCTTCCGGACGCCTGTGCGGGCACCTGTGGCTCGGCGTCTGCATCCGCTGCCCAGGGCGGGCCCGCCTGGAGCCTCCCGTGGGGCGGCGGGGGATTCGACCGGGGGAAGGACGGGACGAGGAAGCCGGATCACGGTGCCTCGAGCAGGGAACGGTTGTCATGGAAAGGTCATCTGGTCCCCAAAGGGCCAGCTTGCTTTTCTCCGCCGAGGGTCCGATGGGGAAACGCATTTGCGGTGCTGGCCTAGAGGCCGAGGGGCCAGGCTAGACAGTGACCAGTCCGTTCTCAGAAGGGCTCAGAGCCCATCTGTCTGGAGGGGTGGCCAGCGCCCACCTGCCTGTGTGGCGCAGAACCGGGCTGGGAGCTGCATGTGGGTTAAGCCCCGAGGCTCTACCTGACCCAACCCACCCCCCGATTCCGTCGGCCCGTCGTCTCGGCAGGGAGTGCTGGGCAGAGAGGCCTGCTCCTTGCGGCTGGCCCTCGGGGGGAAGAGTCTCAGGCCCCGGCTGAGCCCCCTCCCCTAGTCGGCTCTGGTCATGGCTCGGCTCCAAATCTTGGTCTGAATCTCCATCCTTCCCGCTGCCGGTATGTTTTAGCAAAAACGTCCATGTTTGTGGGCACATCCAAGTGACGTGAAGGTTTCGGGAGCAGTGCCCAGCCCCCAGCCTAACCTTCCAACGCGACAGCTCTGGGGCAGGCAGGACACAGGGGACACTGTCCACCCTTGACCGCAGACCGCAGGGTACCCCAGCCTGCACAGCCCGCCCCCGCCCCTCCTCCCCCATCCCCCACCCTCTCCCTCCTGGTGTTCCGGTCCCCAAGGCCCGGAGCGCTGACCACCCTGCCTCTTCTCCTGCCCCCTCCCGCCCCGCTCTGTCCTTCCAGTGAGCCCCACTGCGGCCACCACGCCAAGAATCACTCGCTCCAACAGCATCCCCACCCACGAGACGGCCTTCGAGCTGTACAGCGGCTCCCAAGCAGGGAGCAGCCTGTCCCTGGCCGAGAGACCCAAGGGCATGATCCGGTCAGGATCCTTCCGAGACCCCACGGACGACGGTGAGACCTCACGTGGCGCGGTTCACGCTCACCCGCCCTCGCCAGCGCTGTCCCCACCACACAGGACTCCACGACATCCGGCCGGGCCATCTCAGCTCCCTCGCCCATCCCCTCGCGGGGTCTGGGGGCCGGAAGCCTTGGGACTGGGGGGAGAGAGTGCAGACGGCCCCGCAGCTGCCTGGGGGTGCTCCGGACACCGAGCAAGCCCCTGTTGTCACCCGGCCACACGCGGCGCCCATCTCAGCTCCTCGGGGACACGCAGGGACGTGGTGGCGGCTCTGAGACCCGTACAGAGGGAGAACGAGGCGTTCAGTCCTCCCCGACGAACGCTGAGGGACCGGCCTCAGGCAGGCCCGTGGCTGCCGCCGTCTCGGGTTTGTGGTCGGCCTGGGGGCCAGGCCCCTGGAGGCGGCGTCCCTTCTGTGCTGAGGATGCGCCTGAGTCCCCCCACTGGGCTCCACTGAGCGACCAGGACGAGGATTTTACGCCCCACGGTCTGTCCTCCGTGGGCCCCCAGGGCTCCAGCTGCTGCCGGCCACGCAGCGAAGAGGTGGCCCAGGCAGGCGGGACAGGAGGGCTCGTTCCGAGCCGCTGCGGGGCTTCCCCGAGGGAGACGGTTGGCACCGCGTCGCAAAGTGGCCCCTCTCCCGCCCTCAGCCCCGCGCCCTCGGCACAGCGGACCCGGGGCCCGCCACCCAGGCCGGTGTCGGCCTCAACAGGGGGCCGCTCTGCCCGGGAGACCCGACCCGCTCTGGGCGGCTGGCACCAGCCGGGTCCCCGTTCGGTTCTTTCTGTCGACTCCAGGACCAGGGCTAGCTGCCGCCGCCGCCGCCGCCGCCGCCTCGGGCTCTTCCAGGAGCCCTGCCGTGTCCCTGAGCCCGGTGCTAACGCCCTGCTCTCTTCTCTTCCAGTGCACGGCTCAGTGCTGTCCTTGGCCTCCAGCGCGTCCTCCACCTACTCCTCAGTAAGAGCATTCGCTTCTCCCTCCGCCCGCCCCCTCGGCACAGCCAGGCACAGGGTGGGGGCGGGGGAGCCCTCGGCCGGGAGCTTCCGCTGCGCAGGGTCCGTCTGGCCTCACCACCAGCTCTGGAGCTGCCCTGTGGCTCTGTGTTGGCGGCCAGAGCTCGGCCTGGTCCCGTGCGGAGCCCATTCTGTGCCGTGAGGAGCGTGGGCCCTTGTGGCCAGGACCACAGCACCGTGCGCCGCTTCCCTCGCGTCCAGTGGGGGGCAGTAGGTGCTTCCCTGGGCTCTCGTGGCCCCTTCCTCCTGGGCCCCCTCCTGCCCTGGGTCCTCGACCCCTTCCAGTCGACCAGCTTCCTTTCCCAGCCCTCTTGGCGGCCACAAAGCTGGCTGGACTTGAGCTGCAGAGACACCTGCGACTGAAACCCTGGGGCAGGGCCTGGGCCGGTCCGGTGGGGAGCCAGGCCGGGGACCCGCTTCAGCCTCTCTGGGCCTCGGGGTCACGCTTGTCCCAGCGCCCTGCCGGCCGCGGCCCGGCCTCCTCGCCTCCGCAGTAACCTCCTCTCTCTCCCCCCCGCTGCGCGCCCTTCTTCAGGCGGAGGAGAGGATGCAGTCTGAGGTAGGGCGCCGGGCCTTGGTCTCCGCTTGCTGCCCCCTGCACTCCAGACTCCCTCCCTGTCCCCCCACCGCCGCCGTCAGCTGTCTCCTCCTTTTGCAGCAAATCCGCAAGCTTCGCCGGGAACTGGAGTCATCGCAGGAGAAAGTGGCCACCCTGACGTCCCAGCTGTCTGCCAACGTGAGTGAGACCCAGGCGCTTAGCCGTGCGTCAGAAGCTAGAGGAGATCGGCCGGAGCAGCAGGGCTACGGCCTACCCCACCCCCGGGCGCCGAGACCGAGGGGGCAGAGGGCTCGAGGGCGCCCCCCCCCCCCCGTCTCTGAGTCTCGATTCTGGTGACGAGCATTCTGCCCTGAGCCCAGTCAGGAGGTGGCTGAGCCCACGGCCGACGGCCTGTGAGCTCCCCGGGGCGGGGGCGGGGCTGCCCGTGGCTCTGTGAGGGGCGGCACGGCCTTGCCGCCGGCCTGGGCAGCGGGGGTTGTCACAGGCTGTAGCTACAGCGCCCTGCCCGCGTCTTTGTTCGCGCCGCATAATTGGGCGAGCCCTGGTTTCTGGAATTCTGTCCGAAGACCCTGACACCGCTCGGGACCCGCCCCGCCCGAGCCCGGCCCCTCCTCTCCCAGCAGCCTTGCCGGGGAGGCCCCTGGGCAGCTGGCAGCGGGGACCCGAGCCCCCGGTCGGGAGCCAGGGCTCTTGTCCATGCCCCCAAGCTGCCCCACGGAGCTTCCACCTCGCGGGAGCGTCGCTCTCCCTCAGACCGTGGTCTTCCCCCGGGAGATGGGGACAGACGCAGCCGCCGCTCCAACCAGGCTGTGGCCAAGGTGCAAACAGAGAACATAAGAGTCATTTTCCCCCAAAGTTGTAAACACCAGCTGAGCCGGATCCGCGGGAGCGTTCCAAGTGCTTGCACAAAAGTGGCCGTGTCTCCAGCTTCCGCCGCGGTTTCTGGCTTCTGCTCTCCCTTCCTCTCTGGGGGACCCAGCTGTCGGGCCCAGGGTCTCCCCTTGGGACCGGGTAGGGGACTCTGTCCCAAGCTCTTGCGTGTTTCCGATCCACGTCAACAGCGGGTCCCTCACATGCTGGCTGTTGTCTTTCTTCTGTCCCAAGCCCTCGCTGGAGATGCTGGACGTGGTTTGTTGGAAAGTCATATCAAGCATTTGTGGGTTTTTGTTTTTTTTTTTTTGCACTCGTGGGACTTGTAAGAACTGTAATGTAAACAAGAACCGTCCCTCCCTCCCTGTACCCCACCCCCCCAGGCCGGGAGAGGAGGTGCAGGGGGCAGGGCCGGGACGGACGCGGAGAACAGCGGTGGCTGGGCGTTCTCATGGGTCACGCCTCCGGCCACGCGACGGGGCCAAGAGAGTGAACTCAGAGGACGGTTTCTCTCAGAACAGGAAGTTCCGTTTGCTTCGAGACAGAGCAATCCAAACACCCAGACGTGGCAGGTTGTGAAGTTTCAAGGCCGGTTCTTGCCGGGTTGTGGCCGGAACTGGGGGGGCTCTGCCGCGCCCTTCCGGGTGCCGCTGCCGCTGGCCTGAGCTCTGGCTGCGCTCCACGGGCCTCCCGGCTGCCCACGCCGAGGGCGCACCCGGCCGCCGACCCTCCCCAACGCCAGCCTCTCCAGCGCCGCCACGCGGCCGGGGGCCACGCGGGCGCCCTCCCAAGAGCGGGCCTAGCAGGATGGGGGGCACCGGATCTGTAAGAGGAGCCCGCAGTCAGGGCAGGCCGGCCAGGGAAGCACATAAGAAGCCGGCTGTGGTCGAGGTCGCGCACAGGCCTCTGCCCGGGGCGACCCGCCGTCTGTCCGCAGACACGGGCAGGGACTCGGAGAATAAACAAGAACTGAAGCCGCGGAGGCAGGAGCTCCCTGCTCAGGAGGTGGAAGTAAAACACTCGGGGTCATGACCGATGCCGGGAACCCTAGGCCTCGACAGAGGTTAGTCCAAGAGGATGGCATGGAGGCCTCACTCGGGACCAGAGGCACCGCCAGCAGCCACGGTCAAGCGGAGGTGTCCCCGGGCCTCAAGGCTGACCCCCCGGGAGGAGAGTCGCCAGCTGACAGGAAGCCGTGAGGGCTTCGAGGACGGTGCCCCAGAGCGGCCCAAACGTGTCTGCCGCTTCCTGCTGGGCCGCCGGCTCGCGCACGCCTCTGCTCGGGGGGGCGGTTCCTTCGCCGCCCTTTGCAGTCCCGCCTCATTCCCTTCGTCTGCGCCCCCCCCCCCCGCCCCATCTCCGCGTCTGTCCTGGCACCCGCACCGGCCGTGCCCCACGGGGCCTCGGCCCGCTTCCCGCCTGGGGGGCCCGGGTTGCCCTCGCTCCTCGCGTCTGGCGGCCAGGCTGTGGGGTGCCCCCGGCCACTTCTTGAGCTCCTCCCTCCAGCCCTGCAAAGAGTCTGGAAAAGCCAAGAGCAACCAGACGTCCTTAAGAACAGGGAGTCCCCGGGAGCCCTAGAGGAAAAATGCGCTGTGTGCACCGGCCGCGTGGGGCAGAGCTCCCCAGGGCAGCGGCGGCGCCCCCGGGCTTGTGTCCCCCAGCAGGTGACAGGGGCCAGCCCAAGGCCCCGGGAACCTCTGTCAGGAGCTAGGATGTGCCCCTCCCGCCCCGAAGGCGCTGCAGTGCAGCTTGTGTGCTCAGGGAAATCTTACGTCACGGCCCCCAGACGGTTTGCGCGCCGGGGCCGACTCTGAGGCGGAGGATCAGCTGAACGGCGTCCCTCACAGTCCCCCCTCGAGCCTCGGGCACCTCAGGGCCTCCCTCTGTACTCGTTTCAGGCGAACCTGGTGGCGGCTTTCGAGCAGAGCCTGGTGAACATGACGTCCCGCCTGCGGCACCTGGCGGAGACCGCGGAGGAGAAGGTGAGCGGGTGGGGGCGGGGACAGGCCGGCCGCAGCCACCCGCCCCCCAGGCCCCGGCGCCTGCCCTCCCTCCCCGTCACCCTGGGACTCAGCGCAGAAGAAAGCCACCCCGAAGCCCCGCCCTCCGTACCATGTCCCTGTCCGGCAGGGAACGGGGGCCCAGCCCACCGCCTGGCGCATAGTAGGTGCTCCAGTCCCCACCGGTGACGCTGTCCCATTTCTGCCCCAGGACACCGAGTTGCTGGATTTGCGGGAAACCATAGACTTCCTGAAGAAGAAGAACTCTGAGGCCCAGGCGGTTATTCAGGGAGCGCTTAATGCCTCGGAATCCTCACCCAAAGGTAGGGGTGCAGGCCCTGCCCGCACCCGCATGTGCCAGGCCCAGCTGCAGCTTCCTGGCAGCGACCCTGCCACCTGGGGGGGGGAGGGGACTTGTAGCCCCCACTGGTCCGCCCCTGCACCTCAGGCCAGAGCGCGAGGGCTGCCCAAGGTCGCCATGAAAACGGCATTAGATTCTCACTAAACTAAGGGGAGTTTTACCAGGCAAGCCAGTAACGATTTCCCTTGGTATTTATCCAGAGGGGCTGGAGTTTTGAACCCGCCACCTTGCAGTTACGGGACAACCTCCAACTGACTGAGCCACGCTGGCCAGGGCTCACTTACGATTTTTAATACTTATTTTACATTTTCCTTCTGTAAAATGGAGAGGGCACCTAACTTTGTTGTATTACGTCAGAGAACGTACGTTAACACTCACCACAGCGTCAGCGTGTTTTAGGTGCTCGATCGCGTCCTGCTCACGCGCGCAGGCAGGGCCCCCGCATTCCCCGGCTGCGGCCCCGCTAAGGCCCCCTTCCCCAGCCTCCCAGCCATCGCTCCCGCCCGGCCCTCCCCGCGTCCCTCGCTCCCGTTCTCCAAGGACACTGTCCGGGAAGCGAACAGGCAGCCCACGGTGGGAGAGACTGTCTGCCAGCCCTACGTCCGATGAGGGCGTAGCGTCCAGAATGTATTAAAAACGCAACGATAAAAAAAACATAACCAGAACTGTGAAACTAGGCCAAGGGTTTGAAGGGCCATTTCCCCTGCAAGACGTCCGAGTGGCCGGTAAGCCCCGGAAAAGGTGCTCAGGGTCCTTAGCGCCCCCAGGAAATTCGAAGCAGAGCCCCCGCGAGGTGCCGCTCGTTCCCACCAGGACGGCCACAGCCGAGGGGGCGGCGACCGTGCTGACGGGCGGGGGGCACCCGGGACCCCACTCATCCGGAGGTGGCCGCGCGGCCCCCGGTAGTTTGGGCCGACGCGCTTCTCCCTGGGCACCGGGAGCTTCTCGCGAACCGCGGTCGTTTCTCCCCCGTGTTTTGCCTTTAATGCGTGTTTACATTGAGGCGTGATTGACGCGGAACACGTGTTTGTTGAAAGAAAGAACGACCCCCACGTGAGCGGTGGGGGCCGAGGGGCCGTGGGCTCCTCCTGCCCCGCCTTCGGCGGCGGGGCTTGCCCACGGCCCCCGTCTGTAAGCCCGTCTCCCCCTTTCCTCGGCCCCCAGAGCTCCGGATCAAGAGGCAGAACTCCTCCGACAGCATCTCAAGCCTGAACAGCATCACCAGCCACTCCAGCGTCGGCAGCAGCAAGGACGCGGACGCCAAGAAGAAGAAGAAGAAGAGCTGGGTGGGTGGGGGCTGGGGTCGCATGTGGGCGGGCGGGCCGCCTCCCCGCAGCGCAGGGAGCGTGTCCTTCCAGAAGGTTCCGTGCTGTAGCCGCTCCACCCTGAGCCCCAAGCCCCTGTCTGCTCAGAGCAAGGCCCGCCACCACGCGGTCCTCCCGTGCCGGCCCCCGGCCGCGCCTCCAGCCACCCGGCTGCGCCCCCAGGGCTCTCCACACAGGTTAGGTCGAGCGCCTCTGGCAGCAGGCGGGATGCGCTGTGGGCCCCGGCCCTGCCGCCGCCCCAACACCGCGCGAAGAAGAGTTGTGAGCAAGGCCGTTCGCCCTCGCCGCTCCGGGGGGTCACTTCCTCCGCGTTCTGGAGAGGCGTTTGCGGAGCTGGGTTTATTGTTCCCGGGCGACCCTCAACTGCCCTCACTGGCCGCCCAGCCTCCGCGGCCAGCGGTGGGGAGGGGCCCTGGGGCAGGCCTCGGCCTCCGCCCTCTGCCCCGGGCGCAGGGCGGCCGCAGACTCTGTGCAGAGCAGGCAGGTGCCCGCTGTGTGAAACGAGTGATTAAGTGTCGCTTCTTTTTTTTTCCCCCCCTTCAAAATGCTGACTTCAAATCCCCATTTTTTCCCAGGTCTATGAGGTAAGAGACGCGGCTCCCCTCCCCTGTCTTCTCTTCCCCTTGCCATGCCCCCCATTCCACAGCAGCTCCCCGCAAAGGCAGGCGGCCGCTGACAGCGCTCGCCTGACGGCCGCCGGAGCGCCTGGCTCCCTGCGCTGCCCGGCCCGCCGGCTGCCCCGCCCACGCAGGAGCAGCGCCCGGCCTGCGCGCAGCCACGGCCGCTCTGCCCCTCCCGGCCCCCGTCTGTGATTCCTGTCCGGAGAGCGAGCTGTCCTGTTTTGTCCCATCAAACCCTAGGAGCCCCAAAATGCAAGAAAGGAGCTCTCTTGACCCTGCTTTTCCAGGGGGCCAGTGGGAGTCTGGATGCATGTGAGCCCAGCTTAGCTGAGGGCCAGGGCCCCCGAGTCGCCCTGAAGCCCGCAGCCCCTCGGCACCCACGGGGTCTCCGAGGAGAGTTCAGGGAGGAGGGCGTGGCCCCCGACAGGCAGCGAGTGGACCCGGAATTTCCGTTACAAGCCAGACGCCCGAGGTCCACGCTTCCCCCCACCCCCGACGCCGGGCTGGGTATTGTGGGGGATGCAGAAGTGGAGTCTCTGTCTCGGCCCTCAGGGGCCTGGGGATTTGCTGGGGAGACAAGGAAAGCAACCCGGTCATTGATAACAGCCCAGCCACAGCAGCAAGGACTGGGGAAGTGCGGACGGGCTCGTCCCAGAAGGGAGGGGTGCCCCCCGGGGATAAGAGCCGGACCCCCAGGGGGCTTGGTGTCCCCCGGGGCTGCCCGACCACAGGGAGCCCGCCCGGCGGAGCCTGGCCGCAATGGGGAGCGCGGTGACTGTTTAAACTCGGCCATTTGGGTCAGCGGCCCTCGAGGTGCTCCACCCCAGCTACCGGGACACGCTGCAGACAGCGGTGCCGTCAGCAGCCCGAGCCCCTTCGTGTTCCGCGGTGCACGTCCCCCTGGGGGGACTTTTGAGGCGCCCCCAGAAAAGCGCTGGCTCATCGGGCTCGACCCACGGTTTCCCGGCACAGGACCCTTCCCACGTCCCAGCAGAACCACACGGGAGCGTGCTTCCCGTGGAGGGTCCCTGTGACCCAAGAGGGCTCCCGCTCCGCACACACACGTCACTGGACATTCCTGCCCGCGCACGCATGTGCACTCACGCACACGCACACGCACAGCTTTCTGCGCGGCGGTGTGGAGAGAGGACATCCTCAGGTTGGGAGTTCAGGAGCCTGCGCGTGTGCCCAGGCCCCTCGGTCCTGCCCTGCTGAGCGAGCCGGCTCCCTGGCCTTGCAGCCTCGGCTGGGGCCCTCGACCGAGACCCGAGCTTTGCGGCACGTCCGGGCCTCGGTGCTCGCGGCCCGCAGGCCCCTGCCCCTCCCTCCCGCCACCGGCACACTGACCCCTCACTGGCGCCCGTCGCGGCCACGTGGGTGGACCTCCTCGTCCAACCCGGTCGGGGCCTGGCGCTCACCCCTGGGGAGCCCCCTCAGACCTCCCCTCTTTGCCCTCCTCGTCGCCCCAAAGGTCTGGTTCGCTCCGGTCCCCCGTAGCCTCTCTTCACCGCCCACTGCCGCCCCTCCATCCGTGTCCCTGTGTGGTGTGCATGCGGTGTGGGTGCATGTGCGTGGGTGTGGGGCAAGACCCTGTGTACGCCTCCGGCTCACACCCTACCCCCAAGCGCGTCACCGCCTGAGAGCAGACAGGCTGGCGTCACACCACGGCACCCCCAGTGCTCCCAGGAGACGTGGGGAGACACCCCTCGTTCTTGGGCCCTCGCGTGGCAGGGGCAGGAGGCACTGCACAGGGGTGTCCTCGCCTTTCCGGGGCGTGCTGAGCGCAGGGGCACCCAAGGGCACCCCTTTCGGTCGATGTCCACAGCGTCATCTTGTCAGTCTCCGGTGGACAGGGGCATAGATTCTGATCGATGCGCCCAGTCAAAGCTGGACCCCGTGCCCAGGGGGCTGAGCCCCCGGCGGAACCGCCTCTGGCCGTGAAGTGTGGCCTCTGGGGGCTTCTCGGTGGCTCTCAGCTCCCCCAGGGGAGAGAGAAGCCCCTAGGTGTTCCCGTGGCCTGCGGCAGCGGCAGACCGGAGCCTTCCCCGGAGCTCAGCCCCAGGCTCTAGGCAGCGTTGCTTCCGTCCTGTGAGCAAGCGAAGCCCTGGACAGGGAGCGGCCGCGGAGGCCCTGCCTGGGCACCACTCCGCCGCAGAGGCCCCGGCGCCCGCCCGTCTGCGCCTGGAGCCCTGACGCCGCTCCGCCTGGGTCTGCTTTCTTCCAGCTCCGAAGCTCCTTCAACAAAGCCTTCAGCATAAAAAAGGGACCCAAGTCGGCGTCCTCGTACTCGGACATCGAGGAGATCGCCACCCCCGACTCCTCGGCCCCGTCGTCCCCCAAGCTGCAGCACGGCGGGTCCGCGGAGACCGCCTCGCCCGCTGGCAAGCCCTCCCACTCGCCCTCCGTGGGCATCGACGCCCCCGAGTAAGTGCCCGGCGCCCGCCTGGGCCCCGGCCACCACCTGTGCCCCTGAGACCAGCGCGGCGTCCCTGCCCCGGCTGCGCGCCCGGGGCAGGTCGGCCCCCAACGCCCAGCCTGGCTCGCCAGCCGCGGGCCCTTCTGCGCGGGGCCGGCCTGACGCCCACGTCCCCGCAGGGCCCCCGCGCCCCCGGCCCCCCACACGCGGCTGTTCCCCACCAGCGAGGAGGAGGGGCCGGAGAAGAAGGAGGTGTCGGAGCTGCGGTCGGAGCTGTGGGAGAAGGAGATGAAGCTGACGGACATCCGCCTGGAGGCGCTGAACTCCGCCCACCAGCTGGACCAGCTCCGGGAGACGATGCACAACATGCAGGTCGGCGGGGCGGCCCGCGGCGGGAGGCCGGGCGGCGCGGGCTGGCCCCGTGCCTACCGTGCCTCTTCCGGCCACAGCTGGAGGTGGACCTGCTCAAGGCGGAGAACGACCGGCTGAAGGTCGCCCCCGGCCCCCCGTCGGGCTCTGCTCCAGGGCAGGTCCCTGGGCCGTCGGCGCTGGCCTCCCCTCGCCGCTCGCTGGGCCTGGCGCTCACCCACTCCTTCAGCCCGAGCCTCACAGACACAGGTGCGTTTGGGAGGAGAGCCTGTCCGGGGGGCGGGGAGAGCAAGGCAGGGTCCCGCCCGCAGCTGCACACGCCGCGCACTCTGGTGGCGTCGGCGACGAGGCCCCACCAGGCAGACACCGCAAGACACGGAGTTGGCTCAGGCCTCTCTCGCTGCCCGCAGACCCGTCACCCATGGATGGCATCAGCAGCGGCCCCAAGGAGGAGGCCACCCTCCGGGTGGTGGTGAGGATGCCGCCGCAGCACATCATCCGCGGGGTGAGGCTCCAGGGGCGGCGGCGCGCGCGCCTCCGAGAAGGCCCGGGCTCGCGGTGGTGGCGCGGGGTCCCCTCCCCTGGGCGGTGCCGCCCGGGGCCTCACGCGCTCTGTGCCGGCCTCGCAGGACTTGAAGCAGCAGGAGTTCTTCCTGGGGTGCAGCAAGGTCAGCGGGAAGCTCGACTGGAAGATGCTGGACGAAGCTGTGTTTCAGGTGTTTAAGGTAAAGTGACACGCGTGCTCGTGGGTCCCTGGTGGAGGGAGGCCGCGTGGGAGAGCCGCACACACATACCCGCCCCTGCCCGCCGGCCTCGGGTCCCTCCAAGGTCCCCTTTCCTCGCGCCTGTGCGTCTGGGTGTGTCTCCTCGCCGCCCTTACAGGCCTCGCGGTCCCCCTCCCGCCAGGACTATATTTCCAAGATGGACCCAGCCTCGACCCTGGGGCTCAGCACTGAGTCCATCCACGGCTACAGCATCAGCCACGTGAAACGGGTGTTGGACGCGGAGCCCCCAGAGATGCCCCCGTGCCGCCGCGGCGTCACGAACGTATCCGTCTCCCTCAAAGGTCGGTGCTGCCACTGCGGCAGGGGGTCGGGGGAGGGCAGGGGGGACGTCAGGTGCCCACCGCCTGTCCATCCAGCTACGATTCCTGAGAAGCCACAGTGCAGTCGGCCCTCCGGGCCCCGGTTCCGTTCGCTTCCCCAGCCTCGGGGGGCCACCACACCCGGATGGAGAACATTTTTTAAAATGCTACGTTGTTGCTGATGTGTCCTTTGTAGTTAGGCCTGTGACTGTAACAGACTTCTCCTGGTCCTTCTTCCTTGAACGATACGGTGTAACATTGAACGATACGGTGTAACATTCACGTGGGGTTTACATGGTGTCAGGTGTCCGGAGATGACTTGAAGGACCCAGGAGGGTGTGCGTGGGTTCCCTGCAAATACTACCCATTTATGCAGGGACTTGAGCATCCTGGGATGTGGGTGTCCTTGAGGGCGGTGGTGTAGGAGGGTCCGGGAACCCATCCCCGCCGGTGCCAGACACCAAGGGACGGCTCACGGGACACATAAAAAGATAGGGCCCAGCCCTGGCTTTTGCTGCCAGGGACGTTTTTGTTAGCAGGAAATCTCTGCCACGTCAGCCACGTGCCTGAAGCTTGCGGCAGGTCGCTAAAAATACGGTCCACGTGGTCAGCCCCCAGGGCGAGGGGCTTCCCCTGGGGCCCTGGCTCTGGGCACGTGGCCCTGAGCTTTTCGGGGGCTCCCAGGCAGAGAAGGGGGGGCCGGGGCCCGGGGCCGCCCTCACGCTCTCCGGGGCTGCGCTCAGGTCTGAAGGAGAAGTGCGTGGACAGCCTGGTGTTCGAGACGCTGATCCCCAAGCCCATGATGCAGCATTACATCAGCCTCCTGCTCAAGCACCGGCGCCTGGTCCTCTCGGGCCCCAGCGGCACGGGCAAGACCTACCTGACCAACCGGCTGGCCGAGTACCTGGTGGAGCGCTCTGGCCGCGAGGTCACCGAGGGCATCGTCAGCACCTTCAACATGCACCAGCAGTCCTGCAAGGTGGCCCCTCCGGAGCCCCGCTGGCCTTGCTCCCGGCCTCAGCCTCCCCTAGACCCGGCCCAGGCCCCATGCCCTCCTGCCTCTCGCGGCCTTGCCTCAGTCTCCCTCCTGTGCCCCTCCCTGTCGCGTCCGCTTTTCCAGTCCTTTCTTTGTCCCCTTGCCTGTTAGGCTCCTTGAATTGACCGCTGTCTAAGCCCCCTTCCACTCATGCCCCTCCTCTTCCTCCCCCGCCCCCCGACCCCCACCCCTGCCTGTGTCTCCCGAGGCCCTCGCTGGCCTGGGGCTTCCCCCGGGGAAACTGAGAGGGAAGCATTTCATGGCGCGCGGTCCCCTGCTGAGCCCTGAGGGCACTTGCTCAGCTCTCGGGTCTCCGATGGGGTTGGGGAGATCGCGGCCCCAACCAGTGGGAATCCGCTTTAGTGTCTGCCGCGTTGGGGCGTTTGGGGCCCCTCTTAGGGGCTGGCCCCGGAGAGCTGGGACCCCTGCCCATCCGTCTGTGGCATCGGCTCCCACCGCCGGGTGCGCCAGCGGGAGGCAGAGGCCCCCAGGAGACGCGGGGCCGGCGGGGCCGCTGCTCCCGAGCGCCAACCTCTCGTTCCATCGCGGCAGGACTTGCAGCTGTACCTCTCCAACCTGGCCAACCAGCTCGACCGGGACACGGGGGTCGGGGACGTCCCCCTGGTGATCCTGCTGGACGACCTGAGTGAGGCCGGCTCCATCAGTGAGCTGGTCAACGGGGCCCTCACCTGCAAGTACCACAAGTGGTGAGCCGGGGGCGGGGCGGGGCCGGGCCGGCGCGGCGGGAGGCTGGGGAGCCCGGCAGGCAGCCTGCATTCACGGGGGCGTCACTCAGCCCTGTTGCTCTCTGCTCCACAGTCCCTACATCATAGGGACCACGAATCAGCCTGTGAAGATGACACCCAACCACGGTTTGCATCTGAGCTTCAGGTGAGCCCGTCTGTCCCTGCCCCCGAGTCTCTGAACCAGCCACGTCCCAGGACGTGGGCAGCCGCAGGACCGAGAGCCGGGTGGAACGTGGGCTGGGCGGAGGGGATAGGTGTATCTGCCATGTCGGTCGCCGGGAGGCGATGGGCCCCCGGGCGAGCAGAGGAGAAGGCGGCAGGGCCCGAGAGGCGCCACGTCGGGCCCTCGGCCCGCTCACCCCCCAGCCGGTTGTCGGAAGAGGGTTCCTGTCCGCCCGCCCGGGGTTCAGCTGACCCCGCAGGGGCTTGAGAAGAACCCGAGTGGGCGTTGGTGGGAGGAGGAACGGACCGGCAGGGGCTGAACCCGGACGGCGCCCCGTGGCCGCCCTGACCCCATCCACCCCGGCGGCAGGATGCTGACCTTCTCCAACAACGTGGAGCCGGCCAACGGCTTCCTGGTTCGCTACCTGAGGAGGAAGCTGCTGGAGTCAGACAGCGACGTCAACGCCAACAAGGAGGAGCTGCTGCGGGTGCTGGACTGGGTGCCCAAGCTGTGGTACCACCTGCACACCTTCCTGGAGAAGCACAGCACCTCGGACTTCCTCATCGGTAGGGCAGCAGGCCGCCCGCCCCGCGGGAGCCCCCTCCTCCTCCTCCGGGGGCCTCGGCCTCGGGAGTGAACAGCCGTGGCTTCGGACATAGAGCCTCTGGGTCACTTAACAAGCTTCCCGGCCCAGTTAGCACCGTGACGTCAGCCTTCTGAACGCTCAGCCCCCGCGCCCCGTGTGTTCCACACCACGAATGGAAACAGGAGGGAGGGTGCCCGGCGGCTCCGCGCCCCCCGCGCCCAGCCCCACCCTGGGAGGCCTTGCTCAGCCTCACAGCGCCGAGTCCCCTTCGTCCCTGCAAACCCGCGCCCCCCGCTGGGTGTTAGGGCCCCAGGGCCCCAGCCACCTTCACGGCCTCCCGCTTCCCCGCAGGCCCTTGCTTCTTCCTGTCCTGCCCCATCGGCATCGAGGACTTCCGGACCTGGTTCATAGACCTGTGGAACAACTCCATCATCCCCTACCTGCAGGAGGGGGCCAAGGACGGGGTCAAGGTGAGCTCCGCCCGCCCCCGGGCAGGCTGCCCTCTCCCGAAGCAGGAGGGCGTCCCCGCGTTAGACACAGGCTCCCCTCCTGACGGGCAGACTGGGGCGCGGGGCGGGCACACCACCTCAGCACGCGGCCCCACGGGCGCGGCCCAGGGCCACGCGTCCACTGCGCTCGGGCCGCCCCGGGGACCACGGCAAATGGAGAAAGAGGTGCGCTCAGGGTGGAAAGAAGAACCGATGGGAGTGGGGCTGCGGCCAGTGCTTCGCCATCGCGGCATCCCTGTGCAAACAAGGCGCTCAGCGCCCCCGGCCCCCGGCCCCGGGCTGTTCTGACAACAAGGACGGGTCTGGAGAGGCTTGTAAGGGTCACAGTGAGAACCTGGTACAGGAGGAAGATGGCGGGTTTTTTAAAACCGCTTCGGTTTTTGTCGCCTGTGAGTCGGGGCCGGGGACCACGGGAGCTCTCCCTGCGCTCAGGGGCGGTGATGCCGCGGCCGGACCCACCGGGCGCTGCCGCCCGTAAACGTCGTTTCCTTTTGCGACAGGTCTCTCCTGGTGACGCGGTCGGTTTCTGGAGACTTCGTCTCTCAGACTAATGCCAGGAGTCCTGGTTTCATTTAGTTTTGTGTCATTATTGCAAAATTAATGTAAAAGCACTTTCTACACAGATAACCTCTGTTTCCAGCAAAGTCACCAGATTTTAAAGTACTGAAGCGGAGGAGTGTCCCACTTGGGAAGGGAGGTTGCGGGGCCGTAAGAAGGGTACGTGGTGTTTTAACACAGGCAAATTGTCGTCCCAAGTGCTTTCAGCTCTTCTCACCCACTGACTTCCCTTGTTGGGAAACGCAGAGAAAATCCCATGGGATCAGAGCGTCGGCACGCATGTCCGAGAGGAGCGGCCCCCTTCGGGGCGCCCCTCCCCTAGCCCGCTCCCTCCCCCGCAGGTGCACGGGCAGAAGGCCGCGTGGGAGGACCCCGTGGAGTGGGTCCGGGACACACTGCCCTGGCCGTCAGCCCAGCAGGACCAGTCGAAGCTGTACCACCTGCCTCCGCCCCCCGTGGGTCCCCACAGCATCGCCTCGCCTCCCGAGGACAGGACGGTCAAAGACTGCACCCCGAGTTCTCTGGAGTCGGACCCCCTGGTGAGTGGGAGCCGTCCGAACGGGAGAGGGGGCCGTGGGTGAGGCCCTGCGAGGCCCCCACTGCCGGAGCCCTCGGAGCACAGGGCTCGTGCGGGTGACCTGGCCCGCGCGACGGGGAACGTGCGCTCGCCTTCCCTCGAGGCCAGGTCTCGGGGGTCCCCGGGGGGACACGCACCGAGCACAGCGAGCGGAGCAGCAGGCAGACCCTTCAGCACAGCCGGTCCTCCGCCAGCGCCCGGGGCCGGCGCCAGTCTGGGCAGCTCACGCACCCTGCAGAGACCACGCCCTGGCGCGTGACAGGGTGGTGCCGTGACCCGGGGGGACTGAACCGAGAGCCCAGAAAACGCCGCCAGGCACCTCCAAACGGAGCGGCGGACAGACGCTGCGAACGGGCATCGGGGGCGGGGGGTGCACGTGGCCGACGGGGACCGAGAGAGGTCCCCCGTCTCCGATAACCGGGGACGTGCGGATGGAAGCGGGGAGACGGCCTCGGCCCCCGCGGCAGCAGGCGTGTCCGCAAGGAAAGCCCTTTCAGAGGGTCAGAGCCTGTGACCCTCAAGTTCGACCTTCCCAGTAGGAAATTCTGTCCCCGTGGTCACAGGACGTTGTCATTTCAATTTTGACTTTGGGGAAAACAGGCGTAAAGACGCTTCTGAACTGGGAGTCGGGTCCGTAGGGTGGAGGGTGACGCAGCTCAGGATCCACCGGGCTTAGCTACACGAGGGTCACAGTCTAGAAGCAGCGACGGGACACAAGGGACAAAAGGGACGGGGCGGGAGGCCCTGCTGGGGTCAGGCGCGGCCTGAGTGCCGAGCTCTGGGGGCGGCCCAAGGCGACCCCAGTCCCACTCCCGGCGGGGCTCCCCACTCCTCGCTCACTTCCCCCTGCGCCTCGCGGCCCGAGCCTCCCGCCTGGGCTTCCGCCCCTGCTGAGTGTCAGCACCTGGCACACGGGGGCCTCGTTCCGTTTGTCACTCCGTGTCCCCGACACACCTCGGGGCACAGACACGCCTCGGGCACACGGACAGAGGGCGGGCGCCGTCCCGGCTGCTCCCCCGGGGACCACGTCTGCACGCTGGGCTCTGAGCCACGTGCACGGCGAGGCTCGGACCTACGCCTGGGAGTCTGACGACCCCCTTCCGCTGGCAGGACCTGGGTCCCACGCTCACGAGCCTCTCTGTCCCCGCAGATGGCCATGCTGCTGAAGCTTCAGGAGGCTGCCAATTACATCGAGTCTCCGGATCGGGAAACCATCCTGGACCCCAACCTCCAGGCGACGCTCTGAGGGCCCGGCGGCCCTGCCACCCCGACAGCCGGGCGCCGCAGCGGCAGCCCCGCCCCGCCCGCCCCGCCGGCTCTCCAGCCAGGCCGCCGCGGGAGGGCGAGGAGGCGCAGGAAGCCGGCGGGTCTCAGAGCTGCACCTTCGAGGACTCCCTCGTGGGGGCCCACGGGGTGGCGTCTGGGGACTTGTGTCCCCCGCACACATGAACTGGCCTCCTCCCCTGACTTTGGGGAAAAGATGACGCTGGGTCTTTTTCCTTGATTTCTGGTCTCAATGACAGACTGCTGGGCTTTCTGGGGAGGGCGCAGACGACAGCCAACGAGCCCGCAGCGGGTCCTCCCAGTTCCCAGGAGCGACTCTGAGAGACGGTCCCTGCGGGGCCCCGGGGGAGGCGGGCGCCCCCGAGACTTCCGCAGGCCCCTCCTGACCTGTTGCCACGGCCGACAGCGCCCCCCCGAGACCCGGTTGGAGCCCAGGAAAAGAAGCATGTGGTTTTAAAAATGTTCTGATCAACCTGTAAAAGCTTTCAAAAAACGGGAAAGATGAAGCTGGAGAGGGGAACCAGGTGCCAGGCAGAGAGAGCGTCGGCCACCCTGGGTGACAGGGGAGGGGACAAGACAACTGCCAACACGAGAAGCCGCCAAGCCACAGCAACAGCGTGACACCTTCAGAGGCAGACGGCCAGCTGCCTCACACCCACTAACTCCACGTGCATGGGAGTCAATAAACCCTGCCTTTTCTTTTCTTTTTTTTTTTTTTTTTTGTTTCTTTTTTTGTTTCTGTTTTTTTCTCCGGTTTGCCTATTTATTTTCCTTTTCTCGTTTTGGCTTATTTTTTCTTTTCATCCCCTGACACGGTCAAGAGATGCTGGGGCTGCTCTCTGGGGGCTGGTTCGGCCTTTCCAGGGGGGCTTCCTTTGCAGAGCCTGATGCCGTCTGATCGGTGCCTGCGAGGTACCTGCTGTGCATCCGTCCTTCGCGTCCTCGGGGGTCGCGTGGGACGCGAAGCTTTGGTGCCGCAGCAGTGGGAGGAGGGGCCTTGGACTTCCCTTTGGAGAAAGCACACGTTCCGCCAGGCGCTCCGCGCCAGCCTCCGGCGTGAGGGCGTGAGGGCGTGAGGTCCGTCGGGGTGGGAGGTGTGCCGAGCTCCGCCGTGGACGCGAGGAAAACCAGGCGCTCGGGCCGCTCCACGGCCCGGTGCCCTGGCTGGCCCTCTGCACTGCCCTGATGGCGGCCGCTTTGCCTGACTGCGTCCAGAGCCCAAGCTGGCCTTTCCTGTTCGCTTGTGACAAGTGGGAGAGACCCCAATCAGAACCCAAGGCCCGAAGACCTGCCTCCCACAGGGACCCGCCTTCTGCCGAAGCTGCTGGGAGGGGCGGCGGCCGGCATTCCTTTGCCCGCCGGGCACTGACTGAGCAGCCGGGACAGAGGACGAGCCTCGGGCCCTTGCATTCACCACCCAGGCCTGCAGGACCGTCTGAGCAATGCGGCCCGAGCCCTGGGACCCAGCCGGAGGGAAGCCTTCAATGGCGCGCGCAGCGCGCAGCGTGCGGCGGGCACGAGCGGGATTCGAGACGATGGGCCCGAGGGTGGCAGAGTCTCGCGCCCTCGATGGGACGTCGGCTCCCGGCCGTTTCGGAAAGCCCCAGGCGCCCAGACCCAGGCCGAGCTGCCTGCTAAGGCTGAAGCTTGTCGGGGGCTCTGTGCCGGGCCCCAGCGTTTGCACTTCAGAGTCCTAAGCAGCACAAGGCCTCTCAGAGCCGGCGGGCGTCCGATCTGCCGGCCTGGCCCCCTCTGTCCCACCAACCACAGAGTGGATGCGCCCGGATCTTCCTGTCCCGAGGTTTTCCTTCAGGTCCAAAGGGCGGCCCCCGCGGCCCCCCGAGGAAGCTGCCGCCGCCACTGGCTGCCCCCAGCAACGGCAGCCCGTTCCTGCTGTCGCCGCGAAGTCCCTGGGCCGTGAGGACCCCCAGCTGCAACGCCTGCGGCTCTGCAGCGGGAGAGGCCGTTCGCCCTGGGGATGGTGCTGACATCGCTGCCTTAAGGTCCCTGCTGTGCGGGCAAGGAGGCCCCGGCGCTGGAAGCTCTAACTGGGAAGGAAGGCCGGCGGGCCCCCTCGGACCCCCGTCCCAGCGCGCGTCCCGTGGCGGGGCTCAGGCACGTGGCGCCCTCCCCACCAGGCAGCTCCGCCCGTACCTCTCCGTCTCTTCTGGTGCTGCCCAGCCGGTGCCTTCTGCCGTGGATGCTACTGGCTACTTGAGAAAAAGGAAGGGAGAACCCCTTCCTCCACTCCAACTGCCTCAGACCCCCACGGGGATGCTTGCCTCCCTGGTGACCGTGGGTACCACCGTGAATTTTACCCGGATCCTCAGCAGCTGGATTCTCGAGGTCACTCGCGTTGCGGATTTGCTTCTCTGTCCCCGGGACCCGCCCCCTGCCGCTCTCAGCCAGAGGCTGCGTTTCGCCCAGGTCTCCAGCCAGGTCCCGCCAGGAGGCACGTTCCTGTCTAACGAGGTCCCTCTGGAGCCTGGACCCCATGGGCGGTCGTGCACCTGGGCCCCTGCCGCGGGGCCGTCACCTCACCGGGAACCACGGCCCTGCGGCGTCGGCGGAAGGTGAGCCTATCCGTGGTGCTATAACCGCCCGTCCCGGCTTCTCCGAAGCAGAAAACCGGAGCTCCCTCCCTGCCCCAGGGCTCCCGGCAAGAGCAAACCCACAGCCTTCTCCTACCTACACGCCTGCCTCTGGGTGGAGACCGCCGGGACCCCCCCAAACACAAGAACCGGGTCCCCCAGCCCCCTCCTCAGCCCCCAGGCGCCTTCACAGGGACGCCGCCGGTTTAGTCCGGAGGTTGTGCTCGCTTCTTCCTCCCAGCACCCCGGCTCCGTTCCCGACCAAAGCCGGCCAGCCGATGGCCGGGCGCCAAGCCCCACGGCCACTGAGACAGCCGCCCTCCGGTGGGGGCGGGCCTCCACAGAGCCCCCCTCACTCCTGGGTGCAGGAGACCCACCCGTTTTGTTCAGTGTATTTGTTTCTCGAACCCTGCCTGGCCACTAACAATAAAATACTAGGTGACTGGAGGCTGATACGGGGCCTGACGTCTGTGCGGCGGGGCGGCGGGGGGGCGTGTATGTGTCTTACAAGAGCGGTCTGCCGCGGCTGTTGCGCGTCTCCTGAGGCCTCCTGGGCTATTTCAGTGATCTGCTCTGTGGCAGCTCCGCGGTGCTCGTCTGTCTGGGAACCCTCCTGCCAGCGTCCTTTGCGGGGAGTCTAACCACGGGGCAGCGGGAGGCTGGCAGTGAGGGAGGGTTGCCCGCAGCCCAGGGAGGGGCCCTTCGGCCCCGTCCTTCCTGCTGGCGCGCTTGGTCTTGCATTACCAACCTCCTAACGCGTCTCTCCACTCTCCTCAAGGACTCCACGCAAAATAGTGACATTCGGGTTTCATTTCTCGCATCTGGTTCTCCCGGTTTGCAAGACCTAATCTTTCCCTTCCAGCGCCCCGAGGCGAGGGCCACGCTATTCCCGGGGCACCCCTTTCCGTGGTCAGAGATCCCCGTCTCCTGTAACACCCCCAAAAGGAGCCAGGAGAAGGCAGCGGCAGCCCCTTCTGCCTCAGAGCCCTCGGCTCCTGGGACAGCGCCAAGGGCAGAAACTCCCGACCACGTGCCATTTGCCTGACCCGAGGGCGTGGCCCTGGGAGCCAGGAGCGGGGGACCCACGTGGAACCTGGGGGAGGTCTCCCCGCCTTCCAGGCAGGAGGTTGCTCTGTGCTGATCCCACGCCTCCATGGGGTGCAGGTGCTAAACTGCTCCGCTCACCGACCGTTGACTCACCGCAGCTATTTCCCTTCCCCCACCTGGGCCTCAGCGGAGCTAAAGCCAGTACGTCGACTGCAGTCCAGCCCCACTGGTGGCATGGAATGGGCTTCCTTCGAGGGCTCACTAACGGTGGGAGATGGGAGAGTAATGGAAGGTGGCCCTCTCTTAGGACTAACAGCTACTGCCAAGTGCAGACTTGTGGCCCCGCCGCGGAGGCCGCAAGTCACACAGTGCTCCTAGGACACTGTGTCCCCAAAGAGCCTGAACATTCTGCCCTTTATCATGGAACCAACTGTATGCATTTATTCATGAGTCCTCAGTCAACGTGATCAGAGACCTGGGGTCCCCCACGGGGTTCTGCTCTTGGCCAGGGTCCCCGCGTGCGGGTCGGCTCAGCCCGGCCCTGGGGAGAGGAGAGGAAACTGGAAGATGGTAGGGTCTCAAAGCGAGGACACCAGTCAGAATTTAGAGACTTCAGGGAGACCATCGTGGCTGCAACTTAAACCCGTGTGCCCTGGATCCTCCCGGGGCGAGGGTTCGGCTGTTTTCCTTAACGAGCAATCCCTGGAGACGTATCTACGGCCAGAGTGCTCACGGGAGTAGGCGAGTCCCTGGTTCCTTTACTTGACAACTCTCATGCCTTAGACCTTTGGTTCTCAGCATGTGTTTTCAGACCAGCAGCATCTGGGAACTTGTTAAGAATGGAATTCACAGGCCCCATCCCAGACCTATTGAGTCCAAAACTCCGGGGTGGCGGCCAGCGACCTGTGTTTTCACGAGCCCTTGGGGCAATTATGACGCACAAAGCGGTTTGGGATCTGCTGTTTTAAAGGAAACATGTAGCCAAGTATCCGGGTCCCCACCCTGAGGGGCTTTGGGACTCAAAATCGGGAGGTCCTCGATGATGATTCAGATATTAACATTGATTTCAAGGCCCCGTGTCTCACGCTTCCTTATGTTTATTTTTCCTTTTATTTAACACGGGAAGGAAAGGCGGGCGTGCTTTGGGAGAGGGGCGTTGGGGGGTTGCGTCCCTCCTGCCAGACTACGACCTTCAGAGAAACATCGCATGGCCCGGAAGTTTGCACCCCGCAGACTAAGGGGCTTCGTTCGACACGGAGGCTGTCGGAGGGCTCGTCCGGGTGCTGGGTGATGCGTGCCTATTCGAGCCCCTTTTGCACGCGGGTCAGGACGGGCGCTGCTGGGAGCTTGAGCAGCTGGCGCGAGCCCCTCCCCCCGGGCAGCTCACAGGTGTAGGGCTCCAGCGTCCGGGACAGCCCCCGCTCTTGCTCTGCTTGGCTCGCGGGACAGAGTCCCACAGGATGACAGAGGGACAGCACCGGAAACGAAGGCCCGGGGCTCGCGCGTTCCTTTCCCCACACCAGGACTTGGACATGGAGCTACTCAGCCATGGCGGCAGAACACAATCCTTTAAAAAAGGAGCCATGGCTTTGGAAACTCACAGACTCGAGCTGACGGGGCCACAGAGGAGAGGAGGCTGTCCACACCGGGCTCTGCCTCTAAGCTGGCCGAGTTCCCGCCTGAGAGGGTCTGTGGGCTGGGGAGAAGGCAGCCTGCTAGGCCTCAGCCTCCAGGATCAGGGCCCGGCCTTGTGGAGGAGGGGCCGCAGCTGACGAAGGCGGGGCAAAGCCATTGCACTGTCCTCACCGCCCGCCGCCGCCGCCCGGAAAGCCAACAGTGGGCCCTGTGGTCGCCTCCTGTGGACCTCCTGCCATTTCTCTGAGACTGAGGTGCCGGGTGTCAGGCAGGAGCCCCCACGTCCCCTCCAGTCCTGGCTGCTGCTGTGTAGTAGCCTCCGCGTCCTAACAGCTTTTTCTTATTAATAGAACAGTCTTTAAAAAAACAGTTCCAACCCCTGCTAGGTCCACCCCCCGATTTGAAGCAGTACTGTTCTTGGGATGGAGTCCGTTTCTGAAATGCATGGCGATCCTCTGGGGGAAGGTGGCAGAGATTTTTGCAACACTTTTTTTTTTTTAATTTATTGGGCAGAAACCCCCGAAACAGGCTGTGTGTGTGTCTGCGTGTTTACGTTTTTCTCATTTGCGTGCCCCTTCCACTCGGCCCCTTTTCTATCTCGTGTAGAGAAAGCAAACTGAGTCTGGAAAGCAAAGCGATGTATATAGTGCGGTAACAATCATGACGGGTGCCGGGCTTTTCCCCCAGAAATTCGTTGCAAGTGACAAATTGGTAGAAAATTACATCCGGACAATGTAATTCCGAGCGGACGAGGCCCCCCAGCCCGGCACTCTGTCCCTCAGGCGTGTCTCCTCCCAGCAAGACTCATCTGTCTGATGCCCTTTGCGTTTCAATAAAGTTATCTCCTGAATTGCCCACTCGGTCTCCAGCTCCCTGTCTGGTTTCTGTCTGCGTTTATCTCGTCGCCCAGTCCTTGGCCTGGAAGGTGGCACTGCTTGTGGCCACTTGCTTAACGCGAAGGTAAAAGCACCTGCCCGGGGGCGTCTGATCCCTTTGTGGGGGGCAGGGAGGGGCTGCCGCTGGTGCGCTGTGGACCTGCATCCTTCCCCAGAGCTCACAGGCCCAGCCCAGAGGTCGGGATTCTCAAGTCCTCCAGGCCCCGCGCAGCGCTGGAAGACGCACCGCCCCCCGGACGTGCCCGTGTTCTCGGGAGTAAAGGCGACCCTGGGAAGACAGAAGCCCTTGGAGCGGATTTCGCGGCTGGCACCGAAAGTCCCACAGCGCCCCGCCGTGGCGCCGCTCGGCGTCCTGGCCGTGCACCGCCCCGGGGCCCCGCGGTGGGAAGGGCCCCGACCCAGCTTCCCTCCCGCAGGCGAGGCGGCAGTTGCGTTCGGAGCGCTTCTCAAAACAAATGGCGGGGCGGGGTCATCCGACGGGGAGAAATCTCAAACGTGGCGCCTTCAGCGGGGCCTGCCCCCAGCTCGGCATCCGCAGTCCCACCGGTGTCGTCCAGCTGGTTTGCTGGGCCGCTCGGGGAAGAGAGTCGGGGTCCCCGGAAGCCTTGCTGAGAACTGCCCGGGCCTCTGTGCTCTGAAGCCTCCCACTCCATCCCTTCTGCCACTACACCTATCCCCGCCCTGTCTTTAACCCCTCTTGCCGATCCTCTGCACTCGCTCCGGCGTCCAGGAGCGTCTTCGTCCCCGGCGCCCCTGGCGAGACCAGCCGGGGTACAGCCCCAGAAGACGACCCTGCTCCTCCGCCCCTTCCCTGCCCGGCCTCCGCGGAGAAAGTGCAGCCCCCGCCCCTGCCGCAGGAGGCGCTGTCTGCGGAGGCCGCCGCTCCGCCGCCCCCGGTGCGCAGGCGCGGCTTCGCGGATTGGCCGCGCGCGGGAGCCGTCGCCGTGGCGGGCCGGGCCGCGGGGCTGGCGCGCTGAGCGGGGCAAGATGGCGGCGGCGGCGGCGGCGGGCGCGGCCTCGGGGATGCCGGGGCCGGTGGCCCAGGGCTTGAAGGAGGCGTTGGTGGACACGCTCACCGGGATCCTGTCCCCCGTGCAGGAGGTGCGCGCGGCCGCCGAGGAGCAGATCAAGGTGTTGGAGGTGACAGAGGGTGAGTGAGGCGGGGGCGCGCCGGGAACCCGGGGCCGGGCCTGCGCCGCCGAGGCCGGGGCCGAGCTCAGGCCGTGCGCCTCGCTCGTGCTGCGGGCGCCGGGGCGCGCGGAGGCGGGCGCGCAAGTGCGGCCCTGCGTGGCGGCCGTCGCGGGTCCCGGCGTCCGGCGGGAGCCACGTGCGCCGCCACGGCCCCGCCGTCTCCCGTCTGCGCCCCGAGGGACTCGCGCCGCGCCGCCGGGCGGGCGTCCACCGCCCTTTGTCTGGGCGCTTTGTCCCCGCGCCCCCGGGACGCCTCGGCGACAGAGGAGAAGTGGCCGCCGCAGGCCCCGCGTCGCCGTCCCGAAACGGGAGGGGACGGCTCTCCCGCCCCGAAGTGACCGATGCGCCTGGCCCGCGAGAGCCCCCATTCTCCATCCACTCATTCCGGCCCTCGCGACCTGCGCCGGGAGGTGGCTCCCTGCCGGACTCCGGACCGTCCCAGGAATGAGGGGAAGCTAGCCCTCCCTGGAATGCACCCTCCTGCAGCGCGGGGAGCCGGCGGTGGCGTGCGGGGGCCTCCGGGGTCCGGCAGGGCCAGGGCCACGTGGAAGGCCTGGCTGTCACTGCCCGTGCCCCGCAGACAAGGGCCGCGCAGGTTGTGGGGGGACCGGAAGGAGCGGCTGCGGCCTCCATCGCCTTGCTGCGTTCACTTCGGAGCCCCTGCTTCCTTGCGTGTGAAGGAGGACAGGTGACCGGTTAGAGGTGCCCGGTCACGGCCGAGGTACTGCGGGAGCGACGTGAGGGGCAGACAGACGCCGCCCCTGCACAGCCCCCCACCAAACCTGCCGCCCCCGGGGGCTGGGCCGAGGCTAGGGCTCCCCAGGGCTCTGACCCCAGCTGGGCCGGGTCAGTTACAGAGTCCGGGCCCCTGGCTTTCTTCAAACCCTGGGGTCTTGAAGTAAGAAACTACCAGAAGTGTGGGATTCTGGATTCTGCGTTTGGTCTAGGGCTGGTGGGAATAGATTGAAACCCACACGCCAACGCCACCGCGGCGGCAGGTGTGCTGTGGGCGCCAGGGCCCTGGGGGGCGGGTCCAGCGGGTGGGCAGGCCTGGGTCAGGCCACTGCTTAGGACCCTTTGGAGGCGCTTGTGTTTTTAGGAAGTCTGATTCCTTAGGTTTATGTAAAAGCTGTGGCTGCCCCCTCCCTCCCCAGTAGCCTGTGTGTAGGTGGAGGCAGCAGCCGCTCCGGGGGCTTGAACAGGACGACTTGCCTCCGGGTGCAGAGGACCCAGGTTTTCTTAGGTGCTGTCTGAGTCTCGGGTGTTTCCTCGACGTGGCCAGCCCTTCTTTCTGCACCTTCCCGTGAAGATGTGCCGCCGCCACCAGGCAGCTTACACCGCTGCGGGGCCTGAGGAAGCCACGAGGAAGTTCTCGCCCCCGGGAGGTGCTGTCTGGTCTCAGGGAAGCAGCTTCCCTGGCGCTGGAGGCAGAGGAGGCAGCCGGGAGTCCGTGTTTACTGACTTCTGGCTCCGTGGGCTCAAGGTCCGGCGACAGCCCGATGCGGCTGTTCCTGGCCCCTCTGTCCCTGCCAGTGGCCGTCCACCGTCCCGCACAGGGGTGGCTGCTCTCAGCGGACGCCCGAGGCTGGCCCGTCTGTCCCCGTCTGCAAACAGGTGTGCGGCCTCCCGGCCCAGGCGGTGGCCCCTCATCTTTGACTTGAGCGGGAGACTCTGATGTAACTTCGGGGAATGGGCACAGGTCTGCTGTCAGCTCCCCGTCACATGGACAGACAGGAAAGGCGGGCCGGCTCTGAGCAGGCTCGGGGGGAGAGGAGACCCTAGGAAGCAGCTGTCTGAGACACTGAGGCTGCCGGAGCCCGCGGCACGTGCCGGTCTGTGAGGCTGCCAGCCAGTGCTTCCTGCGAGCGGGCTGCCTGCAGTCAGTGGCCATTCTCCAGAAGGGAGCCTGTTCTCCTGAGCCAGGAAGAGCGTGCACATAACAGCCGCGCCCGACGCGCGGGGGTCGATCTGGAAAGGGCCAGCCTGGCGTCCGGGCGGGGCTGCCCCGGACCCCGTGTTTGCCGTCTTTTCCAGGCACTTGGCACCCGCAGGAGGCCCACAGACGCGGCTCAGACGTGAAAGCCTTGCTCACGGTGCCCTGAGAGGAGGCGGGGCTGCTGACCACTGCCCCCCCCCACCCCCCAGGCGCCGTCCGCGTTCCTGGGAGGTGGCGGGTGACGCAGGAGCTCAAGGTGCCTGTGTGCTGCGCCGCGGGGTTCGCGGGAATGTGCTTCTACCCAGCAGAGCAGGAGTGAAAGGCTTTGATCTGTAAGAGCATTTTTCTGATTCCACGTTGCCTAGCAGGCGGGTACCCGGGCCTGGCGTCAACGTGGCAGTCGATCGGGAGGACTGCTGGCCGCCCCTTCCCCCCGGGGTCTGCTGCTCCGCTCTCGGCTTCCTCCGCCCTTTTTGTCTGACGCACAAGGGGATGACTTTTGAGAATGTCAGCTCTTTGTTTTGGATGTGTTTATGCTTTACTGTTTTATACCCTAGGATAAAGTGTTTTCCTTCTTTTTCTTCTTTTTTCTCCACTTTTCTGCTCAGAGCAGCGTCGCCCAGGTGGAGGGAGCTGGCCTCGCTCGCTCGCGAGCCTCAGCCTCCGGCCAGCGCAGCCCAGGCCGGTACCGCTGGCCTCTGCGCCGCTGTCCTTCCAGTTGTTTCTTTCTGTCTGTAAGAAACGAAGGCGTTTTCTGTCGTTTGGCCTTGACTCTGTCTTCTCTGTCGCTCCCCACAGATACGCCCCAAGAGACACGTGTTTCTCCTCCTTCCTCCACTACCAGTCGCGTGGGGGCAGCCGCCTCTCCCCCGCCTTCCTGGTCCTCAGAGGCCGCCCGGGTCTGTGGCCCCCGTCGGGCATGGAGCGACGGCGTCCGGGGCCTCCCGGCGCTTCTCCCGCTCTCTCGCAGGCGGCCGCTTGCGGATCCGGACGCACCCCTGGGCTTGCGGTGCCGGGCGCTCCTGGGCGCTGAGCCGAGCGGAAGGGGGCCGCGCTCAGAAACAGGCCCGTGGCGAGGTTTTCTCTGTCCTTCCCGCTGTGGTTCCGTGGTGTTTGCCCACTCCCAGGAAGAGAGGGGGCCTCTCCAGAGCGGTGCCTGGAACGCCCCCTCCCAGCAAGCCCGGCCAGGGCCCAGCCTCCAGCTGGCCCCAGGCTCTCCGTGGACCGTTCATCTCAGCCGGTTTTACACAGACGATGCTCCTGGTGGGGCGAGAGGGGGAAGGAGGACGAGAAGCCTGGAAGGCAGACGGGCAGGAAGCGGGGGCAGGCCCCGCAGGAAGGCGGGCAGGGTGCCCTTCGGCTTGGAGTGAAAATACAACCCAGCGCCTGGGCTCAGGGCGGAAACCCAGGCTGCCCCGGGCGAAGTGGCCTGGGAAAGCTGACATCACACCGCCCACGTGGGAACGTCCTTCTTTGGCTAAATTCGGTTGACTCCGAATTGCCCTTTCCAAGCGAGGCAGTACAGCAGCAAGCGCGTCTGTCTCTTCGCTTTTCCTGCCCAATCATCTCAAAGTCCGTTTCTCAGCTCTTCTTTCTGGTGCTTTCTAAAGAAATGACGTTAAAGACCTACCCGTCAGCAAAGCTGGACCCCCCCCACCCCCACCCCTCGACACGTACTGCGTTAAATAAAAGTACCCTTTTCTTTACTGATAACGTTTAGTTGTATCTCCTCCAGAGAGTGTATGTTTTCTGTTCAGTGAATATCTGGAGATAGGATTTTCACTACTTGACCAAATCCGGCAAACACTGGGAGCAGCTCTGTAGGTTGGATTGAAAACCAGTCCGAGGACGGTGGTTCCTTGCAGCTCTCCCTTCTGTGCGTGGGTTTCGCGGCGTGGGCGGTGCAGCGGCCCCTCGGCCCCCGCGTGCGCTGTGTGCGCTGTGAGCAGCTCCTCCTGTAGCTTTTAAGCCACGTCAGGGCTCCGTGGCACGAGGGCCTTCTCTTGCGACTGGTGTTCCTCTCGTTCTGATGGGAGTGAATGGGTTAAAATAACGATTGATACTTGTCCTCTGATACCTCCTCCAGCTTCATGCAGATGGTTCTTTGTCTTTGAATTTTTGGGGTTTCCAAGCCAGAGTGGCTCGCGTGGTACTCTTTTTGACACTAGGAACCTACAGGCAAGAAAACCTACTCTGCTCAGCGTTCCATGTTTAAAATGTGTCTTGAGTTAAAGGTGAGGCTCTTTTTTGCAGACTTTCTTCCCCATGAAGGCTTTGGAGCAGAGGGCCCTGCTCCTTGAACTTCCAGGCTTCTCTCCTGTGCGGGGGCGCGTGACCTGACAGAGAGCACCCCGTGTCGGGGCTTGTCGTGGGCACCGAGCTGCTGGCTGGCCTGCAGTCTGGCCCCTTGTGGGCCGCGGTCCTCCGGCAGCCTCTCACCGTGCTCAGTCTCAGTGCCGGGGGGAACTGGGGTGTGCTGTCCGTGGGCTGCGAGACCCGCGCAAAGCTCCAGCGCCCGGGACCGTGCTCGAGGCCCCGCCTCCAGGCACGGCGGGCAGTGCACCCACGCGGTGCTGCCCCCCCCCCCCCGAGAGTGGACCTGAAGCTCGGGCATGGCAGCAGGGCCCCAGACAGACAGGCCCTGCGTGTGGCGCGCGCCCGGTCCTCGCGCTCTGGTGGCTCTTCCATGTGGTGCCCAGTGGCCTGGCGGGAAATGCGTGGCTCCTGCTCCCTCCTGTGACCCTCCAGGTGAGGTGCCCCCAAAGACTGAAACAGGGACTTGAGCAAAGGCAAGGACATGCTGTCCTGGGGAGCGGGGACACTCGGTGCTGTAGGTGGTTAGACCGGTGATTCTGAAGTTTACAGAAGAACACGCGTGGGGGAGGGGCTCCAGAAACACTGAGAAGGGCAAGTTACGGCTCCTGCCGATGTCAAAATGCGGTACGAAGTGTCTGTGATTAAAGCAGCCCGGCGCTGGCGGGGCCGAGGGCGGCGTCTCAGACCCTGGCGGCAGGGCCGGGCCGGACGTTAGGCGCGCGTGCCGGGCGGCCGGGAGCACCACCGGCGTATCTCGCTCACACAGGCCCTCACGTCCGTGCAGGGCGTCGCGGGCGGAGGCGTCGCGGTCTTTGTTGCGGCCGAGTGGAACTCCGTTGTGTGTACACGCACGACATCGTCTTGCCCCGTCGTCCGTCGATGGGCGCCTGGGTGGTTTCCATGTCTTGACCGTGTGGACAACGCTGCAGTGAACGGGGCGGTGGGGGGGCACCTTGTGCAGTTAGTGTTACTTCGGAGAAATGCCCGGGAGGGGCATTGCTGGGCCCTACCGTAGACGTCCGTCCGTCCGTTCCGTCGTCTTTAATCCTCACCCGAAGGGTGTTCGTTGGCTTGAGAGCAGACGGACAGACAGGCGTGGCCGTGAGAGAAGCGTCGAGGGGCTGCCCTCGGCACGCACCCTGCCCGGGACCGAGCCCACCGCCCTGCGGTGTTGCGGCAGCTGTGCCGGCTCCCACCCCACAGCGGCGCGGTCCCTGTTCTCCTGCTTCGCCAGCACCGGTTTCTGGTTGGCTGGGTGGTTTGCCATCATAATGGTTGTGAGGTCGTGTCTTGTAGCTCTGAGTTGCGTTTCCCTAACTGTTAGTAACGCTGAGCGTGTTTTCTCATGCTTACTGGTCGTGTCTGTATTTTCATTTACGGAAATGTCTGTTCAAGCCTGTTGCCCATTTCTGAATCAGGTTGTTTTTTGCTGAATTTCAGGAGTTTTCTGTATGTTCCTGATATTAATCCCTTATCAGATACGTGATTTGAAAATATTTTTATCCCGTTTGTGGGTTGCCGTGTTCCTCTGCTGAGATTATCTTTTGATGCACAAATTTTTTTAAATTTTAAAAGTCCAGTGGGTCTGCTTTCCTTGTGTTTTCTGAGCTCTTGGTGTCAAATTGGGATATCGTTGCCAAATCCAGCAGCACGAAGCTCTTGTCCCGTGTTTTCTTCTGAGCATGTTATTGCTTCAGGTCTTCCACTTAGGTTCTTGGCCCCTTCGAGCTGCCGTTTGTTCGTGGTGTTGGGTGAGGACCTACCTTTGTCCTTGGCCTGTGGACGTCCAGTTCTCCCAGCTCCGTTTGTAGAAAAGACCGTGCTCTTCCCAGGGGTGGCCGCAGCCCCTCCTCAGAGCTCCTCTGGCCCCAGGGCGGCCCTCGGTCCTGCTCTGCTGGTCTGCACCTCTGTCTTTGTGCCAGAGCCACGCTGCTCTGATTGCTGCGTTTGTAGAAAGTGTCGAGACCAGGAAACCTTAGCGCTCCAGTTTTGGCTTGCGGGGGGTGCTGTTTGTAGCCCCTTGAGATTCTAGGTGAATTTTAGGATGGGTTTTTTTATTTCTGCAAAAATAAAAGTGGGGTTTTGATAGGGGCTGTGTTTAAGGATCTAAATTTTAATTTGGGAGTAAGAGTCCTATAGCCTCCCAAACACGTATCTTGCTTGCTTACTGCTTGCGTGGCTTATTGAGAACTATGCGCTTACAACAGTTGCGTTTTTAGCACTAAGCCTGTTAAAGCCGGATTTCCTGAGACTTCCTCATCTCCTACCTGGTGGCGTGTAGCTGAGCAGCTCCTGAAATCTCACTTGTCAACCTGCCTTTGGGGTTAGACAGCGCGGCTCCCGGCGAGGCACCGCGTTCGCCGGTGGAAGTGGGGGCTGCCCGGGAAGGCGTGCCACGCCGGAGCCTCGCTTTGCCCATGGCCGCGCCTGGTCGGAGGGCTTGCTCGCAGCGCCGTCCAAGCGTTTGGAGGCGGCGGGTCACGCCCTTTCTGAAGTTGTCCTTGTCGGCATCAGGCTGGAGCTCAGGGCGTCGCTGTGGCTTTCCCACACGCTCTCGGGCTCACAGTGACGTTTTCTCTTTCAGAATTTGGTGTCCACCTGGCCGAGCTGACCGTGGATCCGCAGGGGGCCCTGGCAATCCGTCAGGTGAGTGCAGCCTGATGGGTCCAGTGTGTAAGCCATGCCCTGTCCTTGGCAATGAGACGTTCTCACGGGAAGGAGGAAGCGGGGCCAGTCCGTCGGTCACCCGGGACCTGGTGCCGGGTCTCACTGTGCGTGGGGGGCGGGCCGGGCGTGGACGTGGGCGTGGGTCCCTGGGAAGAAAGCCTGTCCTCGCGCAGACCTGCGCCCATGCTCTCTGCAGCTGGCGTCCGTCGTCCTGAAGCAGTACGTGGAGACGCACTGGTGCGCCCACTCGGAGAAGTTCCGGCCCCCGGAGACGACGGAAAGGGTGAGGCAGGCGTGAGCCGCGCCGGGTGGCCGGCGGGGGCCGTGGACAGGGGCGGCAGGCGTGCTCGAGCGGCCGGCCACCCGGCGCTCAGGCCGCAGTCCACCTCGCTGGAGCCGTATTCTCCTTCTCGGCTCCAGTTTCCTAAGTGTCTAAAAGTGGAGCGGAGTTCCCACCTCCCAAGAACTGTTGGAGGTTGCGTGAGGGGCTGTCCCTGCTTAGTGTGCGCTGTGCAGCCACGGGGCCCTGCGGGCCTTCGGGGCGTCGGGCGTGGAGAGGCCTGTCCTCGGAGCTCGGCCCTCACGGGGCGCCTGGGCCGCCGCTGGCCGCTGGCCACTCCAGGCGCCAAGCACTCCCAGGACCGTGTGGCGGCAGCTGAAGGACGAGGTTTTAATTCTGTTCCGTTGTGATTCATGAAACGCGCGGCCGCGAGCAGCTGGTGCTGCTGGAATGGACGGCGGGAGCGTGGGGACCGCGGGGGCTCTGGGGTGGGCTGTGTGCTGGGCGTGCATCCTGGAGCTCTCGGCAGGGACGTGGGTTCGGGGGGCCGTTGCTTTGCCAGCGCGTAAACCGGGCAGGACTCTGCCGACTGCTTGCGACCCGGTCTGATGGCAGGCGGGCTTTGCTCCCCTACAGGCAAAAATCGTCATCCGGGAGCTGTTGCCCAACGGGCTGCGAGAGTCGATAAGCAAGGTGCGCTCCAGTGTGGCCTACGCGGTGTCGGCCATCGCGCACTGGGACTGGCCCGAGGCCTGGCCCCAGCTCTTCAACCTGCTCATGGAGATGCTGGTGAGCGGAGACCTGAACGCAGTCCACGGAGCCATGCGCGTGCTGACAGGTATCGGGAGCCGTGTGGCGGGAGGGCCCTGAGCGGCAGGCGGGACCCCGCCACCCCCCCCCTCGCCCGTCTGCGCATCCCCCGCCCCGTCCACGTGCCGTGGGGAGCTCCGCTGGGGTGGCCTCTGCTGCCCAGGCCTCCCGCCTGAGGACCGGGTGCCGCGCGGCAGCCGAGTGCTCCGATCTCGGTTCCTGTTCCGGCCTCCCCCGAGCCCGAGCCTCCTCGTGTAGAATTAAGGTGGCGATAGTGTCTGCCTCCAAGGAGCTTGGGGCCGTTTAAACGTGCCGGCCTCTGCGAGTGTCAGTTGAGCGCGGTGACTGACTCAGCGAGCACCTGTGAACTTGAGCCCTGGTGACTGCCGTGCTCATACAGTGTCCGGCACGAACGGCTCCCCTTTTCGTTACAGAATCGTAAGCGTGTCATTCTGTCACGTAGCAATAGCACGCTCACGGGCACCGTGTGACAGGTGAAGTGTTCCCATTGAGACTGTAACTTACTACGCCCATGGTACTACCCTGTCCCCCGCACTCAAGCAGGCCTTCCTTCTGTTGAACCTGGAATACTATTTTTCTAGTGAGCTCGACCAGGACAAGGAATGGTCGAACAGAATAAAAATACTTGGACTCTTAGTCCAAGAAGATGGCTGGGCGTCTCTTCTAAGCGTGACTGATGCATCGCCAGCCCCTCCCGGAGCTGCCACCACATCCCGGGGGGGCCTGGTTTCCCGTCTTGTCCACGTTCCGCCTGCTTCCTGCCCCTGGTGAAGTCACCGCCCCGTTTCCCTGGACGTTCGCCGTCTTGTATGGGCCTTGCCTTTCTGGCCGCAGACCGTCCTGCACGGGCCCCCCAGCTTGCTCCAGTTGCGTGGGGGTGATGTGGAAGAGCAGGACGTTGCGGACGTGGGGACGTGGCGCTTGGGTTCCTACGCAAGGTCCCGGGTCCTCCGCGCGGTCTCAGTGCCGGTGGCAGTTTTGGGGACGTGAAGGGAAAGCTGTGGCCCGCGGTCTCCTCCCCTTCTCCAGGCCTCGTCCGCCTGTAGGCTGCGTTGGGGCGCACTCAGCTGGGGGAGTCCCGCCCCCCGCGCCCTGAGCGGGGGAGCAGCGGGCTCCCCTTCCAGGCCAGCAGGGGCCTGTCCTGGCGAGAGCCCCGCCGGGAACAGAGGGGAAGCCCCGCCAGCCTTTTCGGAGCAGGGAGACAACCTGCCAGGGAAGGGTGCTGCAAGCAGCCCGAGGGCGACGCCTAGACCCGCACCTCGGGGCGCACCCGGCCGCACGCCCCGCAGGCGGCCGGCCAGGGCGCGCCCCGCTCCCTTTACAGGCTTGCTCTTAGGGCGCAGGCCAAGGCTGGCTTTTCTCCTCTGGGTGCTTCCCTTCACCTCCACGTTGTCCTCTTCCCTTTGCTGCCACAGCGCTGGTAGCTCGTGCTGCCACCAGGACAAGGCCACCAGGCCGGCGCCTGTGTTTGTGGCGCGGCCGCCTAAACGCAGCTCGAAGCGCTCGCTCTTGATGTCCTTAGAGCGCGGCGCTCTCTCACCGTGCCCCTTCTCCGCAGAATTCACGCGAGAAGTGACAGACACACAGATGCCGCTCGTCGCCCCTGTCATCCTCCCGGAGATGTACAAGATCTTCACCATGGCCGAGGTGCGGGCCTGCGGGCTCCGTCCCGCGCGTCCCCCCGCTCCCTGGGGCCCAGGCTCCCAGCGCCGGCCGCCCCCGGCCCCGGGGGGGAGGCCTCCCGCCAAAGCTGGCTCGCCCGTGGGGCGCCGGGCAGCAGCCTGTCACCGCGCTGCTCCTGGCGACCTCCCGCGCCTCACGCAGATGTGCTTGCGGGACTCACGGGTGGGGCTCGCTCGCTCGCAGTCAGGCAGGGCCGCCTGGCGGGGCATTCTCACGGCCCGTCCCCGTCCCCGTCCCCAGCGGAGGCCTGCACCTGCAGCGGCACACGGTGACCGTGCTGGGTTTCCGGGCGTGAGGCCCCAGGCGCCGGGACGCGCACCGGTCTCAGCCGCGCGCTGCCTTTTCCCAGGTGTACGGCATTCGAACCCGGTCCCGAGCCGTGGAGATTTTCACCACTTGTGCCCACATGATCTGCAACATGGAGGAGCTGGAGAAGGTACGAGAACCCTGGGCCACTCCCCGTGGCCTCCGTGGGGGCAGCGGCCTGGGTGCCTGCAGCCCCGTGGACGGCCCCGTGCCCGGGGTGGGGGCACCGAGCGCCGGGGGTAACGTCCGGGTGCCTGGGGCTCCGCGTCCTTGGGTTGGGTCTCATTTCTCCCGGCCCCTCCTCACACTCGCTTTCGCGGTAGCTGCCCCGGGACCTGACCGGCCCCCTGCAGTCGCTCTGGGAAGTGGCGGCCGCGGGCAAGGCGCCCTGCGGTCCAGGGGCGGCTGGCAAAGCTGCTCTGCCGGCGTGGCTGCTCGAGGCCACCGGGCGGGGCACCGCCAGGGGCACGGGAACCACAGCCCCGGCGCCGGCCCGAGCCCGGAGGGACCTCCGCGGAGCCGGTGCTGACCCCACTCCCGGTCTCAGGGCGCGGCCAAGGTCCTCATCTCCCCGGTGGTACAGCAGTTCACCGAGGCCTTCGTGCAGGCGCTGCAGGTGCCCGACGGGCCGGCCTCCGACAGCGGCTTCAAGATGGAGGTCCTGAAGGTGAGCGCCGCCCCCCGCGCGGCCCCGGGGTCGGGGGGCGGTCCGCGACCCGACGCCCCGGTCCTGTGGCCCCTGTTCTCTGGCGCCGCAGGCCGTGACCGCCCTGGTGAAGAACTTCCCCAGGCACATGGCGACCTCCATGCAGCAGATCCTCCCCATCGTCTGGGACACCCTGACCGCGAGCGCGGCCTTATATCCTTCCCGGCTGGCGGGCCCCGCGTGGGCTCACGTGCGCGCGCGCAGGCCGGCGGGGCCCCCCCGTGGTTCCTGCCGTCCCCTGTAGAATTCATGTGAAGCAGACCCCCGGGTTCTGTTTCTTAACTCCCCATCATACTTACGTGAGGACAGAAGTCAATTACACGGAGGAGGTGGAAGACCCCGTGGACTCGGACGGTAAGTGGCGTGTCCGGTCTCGACAGAGGAAGGGGATCCAGGAGCAGAGAAGAGCCAGGCAGGAAGTGGCCGCTTGGGGGCTCCCCGTCTTAAGCGGGCTTTCTCGGTGGGTTTCCTCTCGCAGCGCTGGGTGTGCGGAGCAAGGCCCCGGCCCGAGTCTCGCAGTCACGGAGCCTCGGAGCCGGTCGAGGAGCTTCCGGCCTCCGGCGCAGCCCGCTCTGGCCCTGCGCCTGTGTTAACTTGCAGGCCCCAGGAGGCGGGGGTTCCGTTTTAGTATTTCAGGTCGCAGGCAGACAGCTGGAAAATGCATCGTTTCTGGCTCTCGAAAAACCAGCATTGAATGTCGCAGGGTTGCTTTCTTCGACCCCCGGTCGCGAGCGTGTCGCTAGTTGTTGACCGAGCAGACAGTGTCCTTTACGCCCAGCCCGCGTGCGCCCTTCGCTGTCCTGTCACTGAAGTCTCGCCGCACTTCCTGTAGGTGAAGTCCTGGGCTTTGAGAATCTCGTCTTCAGCATCTTCGAGTTTGTCCACGCTTTGCTCGAGAACAGCAAGTTCAAGGGCACTGTCAGGAAGGCCCTGCCGGAGCTGATCTACTACGTCATCCTCTACATGCAGATCACGGAGGAGCAGGTGCGGTCGGGGCGGGCGCGGGCGGCTCATTTCGAGAAACAGGCGCTGGGAGGGCCGCTGTCTGCGACCTTCTGGGAAGGCAGCCCCGCCACATCCCTGGGCGCGGGGGTTGTGGGGCTCTCAGAGAACGCTGACCTCGGCCTCCGTAGGGCCACCAGCCAAAGGCCCCGACGCCTGAAATAGCCTGCTCCGCCGTAAACGGTGAAATACAGAGACCGGGTCCCCGGCCTGGTTTGGCAGGGCGGTGGGGGGCGGTCATTGGACCAGAAACGAGCTTCATTTCGCACCTAAGACAGTGCTTCCCTTACGTAAACCACAGCGTTGACGTCACTCACCTTAAATGTCCCATCAGATCTGGTGCGGTCAGAGAGTTGACCCGTGAAGGAGGAGCGGCTGGTTGACCATGGCAGAGAGCTGGTCACTGGCCCCGTTCTCCCAGTGTCGCTGGAGAGCGGCGACCTTCGCTTCTTGCCCCAATAAGGAACGTGCCGCTCTGCATCAAAGAGGGAAGAGGGGGAGCCAGGCTGTCGTTCAAGACAGAAACAAAACCGACGCGCTGCCGTGCGTGCGGACAGCCGCCTCCCAAAGGCCCGCTCTGCTCGCCCTTTCAGGTCAAGGTGTGGACGGCCAACCCCCAGCAGTTTGTGGAGGACGAGGACGACGACACCTTCTCCTACACGGTCAGGATCGCGGCCCAGGACCTGCTGCTGGTGAGCGGCCGTCGGAGCAGCTGCGTGGTGCGCCGGGCAGCGTCCTCTGGGGCTTCTGGGCGTAACAAGGGCATCTCTCGGCCGAGCGTCGAGGCTCAGGAACGGCGGGGCCTCGGCTGCTGGCTCTGACGTGGCCGTGAACGCCAGCGGGGCCGGTCGTGCTGGCGGCGGCGTCGCAACGAGAAGGGGGGGTCAGATCGGGAGCATTTCCGTCCCACCGGCTGTCCAGCAGTGTCTGCAGGCGGACCAGAGGCGGCCCCCCAGCACAGGGCACCTGCAGGGGACGAGCGCCAGGCACCCGCCGCCGTGCCCTGCGGCTCCGACCGGGGCTCAGCGCGGCCTCCGGGCCAACGTTCTGGGCAGCAGCAGCCATGGGCCGCCTGCTGGGCGGGGGCTTGTTCTCCTCGGGCACATTCTGCCCGTTTTCCTTCGGTTTCCCAGGCCCCTAAGAAAGACCCCACACAGTTCCACTTAGCTGGTGAGCGTTTTGTTCCAGTTGGGCTCCAGGAGAAGGTCTGGCGCGCTGTCCCCCAAAATAACCTCTGCCGAGGGGTCTGCGCCTGCTGCCTGGAGACACTTCCCAGGGCCGGGAGGGCCGTGCGCTCAGGCCGGGCTGTGTGGCGGTGCCCGATCCGTGCGCAGTCCCACCTGCGGTTTGCAGCCAGGAGGGGTTTGCGTGGCACAGACGGATGTCTTGCCCCCCTGCCCCCAGGCTGTGGCCACGGAGTTCCAGAACGAGAGCGCGGCCGCCCTGGCCGCCGCGGCCACGCGGCACTTCCAGGAGGCCGAGCAGACCAGGAGCAGTGGCGCCGAGCACTGGTGAGTGGGCCATGGGGGCACCGCGCTGCCTGTGGACCTCGTGTTTCAAGGCAGCACTTCGACCCCGACCCTGACCCCGACTCTGGTCGGCTCAGACCCTGTTTGTTGCTCCGCCCCTTTCTGAAGAGCCTCGAGAGGAAGGACCCGGCTGGCTTTTGACTGGAAAGCAAAGCCTCTCTGGGCTGCAGGCGGGGCTGGGAGGTCGGACCAGCTGGGGGCCCGCCCCTGCGCTCCCCACCCCCCCGGGCCCCCTCCCGGCCGCGCGCTGTCTCACGGGCGGCCCTGCCCCCCAGGTGGAAGGTGCACGAGGCGTGCATGCTGGCGCTGGGCTCCGTGAAGGCCGCGCTCGCCGACGGCGTGAAGAGCGGCCGCGTCCACTTCGACATGCACGGGTTCCTGACGGGCGTCGTCCTGGCGGACCTCGGCCTCTCAGGTACGCGGCGCGGCGCCGGCCGCAGCAGGCGGGCCGGGGGCTCACGTGCCCGTCGGGGAAAGCCCTGCCCCCCAGAGCTGGACCTCACCTGACCCTCACTCTGGCTGCTCCGCGCCGAGGGCGTGGTGCGCACGGCCACCGCCGTCCGGTCAGGATGCCCTCGGGCAGCCGGAACCGGGCTCCGTCCCCTGCACGGCCCCTGCCGTCCCTCACACTTGCTCTTGGGCAGCGTCCAGACACTGCAGGGTCCTGGTCTCAGGTCCACAGTAGCTGCTCCTGCTAAAAAACGCAGCCCCTGCTGCGTGGGACTGGCTTTCTCTGCACCAACCAACCCCCTGGGCTGTGCTGCTTTGCCTCCGCCCTCACGTTGGGCAGCCTTTCGGCCGAGTCCTCCGCCTGAAAGCACTTGGCCCCGACTGGCAGGTCGTGTGTCAGGCTCTGGTGCCGTCGCGGCCACTCCCTGCTCCGCAGGACGAGGCCGCTGAGCGGCCGGAATGCAGACGGAGGCCACCCCGTGCCTGCGCGTCGGCCGGGGTGGCACTGGGGCTGAGGGGGCGCCTTCCTCCTGCGCGATGTGAGGCCTCATGGAGCGGCCAGCGCGTCCGGCGCCTCTTCTACCCCTGGTGCCTGGCACCTTCTAGGCATCGAAATTACGTGTTCAGTGGGCGTGCGGGAACTTCCCAAACGCGTCGGCAGAGCTCTGTAGGGTTTGCCTCAGCAAACAGTCTTCAAAGAGTCATGTAGACGGGAGGGCATCCGGTGTCAAGACTGCAGCGTCGGTTACCCTGCCAGGACCTGAGAGCTTTTCCGCACCAGCCGCCGTTCGTTAGCCGTGATCCCGAAGGGATTTTTCTGTGAATTTCACCCAACTTAACGTTAGCGATTAAAACCAGAAAATAACGTGACATATGAGAAGCAGGCATCCGCGCCACGGGGTCGCATGCCACGTGGGCCCTGGGGGGTGGAGGCGGGAGCCCCGGGCCGTCGGACGGGCTTCTGGGCTCTGTCCCGGGGACCCCGTCCTCAGGCGGGGGGCGGGGCGTCCTTCCACCCGCGGCCGGAGTGTCGAAGAGCGCGCGCGTGGCGAGGCCGGGGGCGCAGTGCGGCCCATCAGCCCGGCGGGGGCACGAGGCCTGCGTCACTGAGCTCGGGGACCGTGAGCGCCCCGCCGGCCAAGGGGCGGGCTGTCCACTGGCCGGCAGATGCGGTTGAAGTGAAGGAGCGACAGCCGTCCTCTGAGGCGTCGCGCGGCCCAGCACCAAGGAGAGCCCGGCCGTGGGGGAGGCGGGGGGTCTTCGGTCTGGGAAAACCAGGGCCCTGCTCCGCAGGCAGCGAGAGGCAGGGCTCCTTCCCTTCTCTGCGCCGTCCTGGCCCCGTCGAGTCCGGGGGCCGGCCGGCCAGGGCGGGGGCGGGCAGGCGGCGGGAAGGCCGCGGCCCCGCCCTGACTGCCCCCCTCCCGCCCCCCGCCCCGCAGTGTCTCCCTTCCTCCTGGGCCGGGCGCTCTGGGCTGCCAGCCGGTTCACCGTCGCCATGTCCCCTGAGCTGATCCAGCAGTTTCTGCAGGCGACCGTCCGCGGTCTTCACGAGACGCAGCCCCCTTCGGTTCGGATCTCTGCCGTGAGAGCCATCTGGGGGTGAGTGCGCCGCCGGGGGGCTGGGAACCCCCCCCGGGTGGAAGGCCCAGCCGCGGCTGCCGGGGCCGTGTGCTTGGGGGCAGGGCCGGGCACGCTGGCCAGCTGCCTCCGCCTCGGGCTCAGGCAGCTGAAGGAGGGTTTAAAGTCTAATTTGGGGTCTGAGTTGAACCCTAAAAGCTGCCTGAAACCCTAAGGACACTCTGCCCTGCCCCTGCCCGTGCCGACTTGCTGTCAGCGCTGTGCCCTGGGCGCTGTGCCCTGGGACGGGGGTCCCCAGGAGGCGCCGCGGCCCTGGCGTCCGCTGGCAGCGAGCAGGCCGCCCCTCGCTCGTGCTCGTGTCCCTCCGCCAGGCAGAAGGGCCCCGCGGGCCGGGAGCGAGCAGGCGGCCCGGCGGCCTGGTGCCCTTGTGGGCCCGCGGGGCCCCCGGTCGGCCGCGGCCCTCTGAGTCCGGCAGCTGACACGCAGTGTGGTTGTGAGACCCCCGTAACCTTAAGAGTCAGTTACCGAGTGCCTGGGGACACCCTTGTTTTCGTTGTAGGTTTTTTAACACAGAAAATGTTTTTATTAACTATTGTCGTTCTGAGAATAAACAAAAGTAAGGATTTAATCATCGTATCCCAGTGGACGTGCTGAGCAGCATCCAGTAAGGACTTGCTGAGACATGAATAACGTGTAGCAAACTTTAAAGCCTACAGACAGCACATCAATTTTCTAAGTGTACATAGAACACTTATAAAACTTGATCTCGTTTTAAGGTGCAAAATATCCCCACAAAGCACAACATTTTTATAACACAGGAGTTTAAAAATAGTCACTTGCTAAATAATAGCTTTGTTGGAAGAGACGTTAAAACACTTTGCGTTTGGGAGACAGGCTCTGCCCAGACCTCAGGAGCGCCGAGCGGAGCGGCGCCCTGGGAACGCGAGCCGCCTCGGTCGTTTGGACGCAGCGACGTGGGCGGCTTGTGGGAACCGGGGGGAGGAGGGTGGGAGAGGCCGTGAAGGGGGCGGCGGAGACCAGGAGGTGTGAGGCAGGCGGCGGTGGGGACGTTCGTGCGGCGCGCCGCAGGAAGACGCAGGGACTGGCTCTCGGAGCAGCTCCGTAAAGCTGCTCGGGGAAGGCGCCGCGGACGGAGGGAGGCCGCCCCTGAGGGCACCCTGCGCCTGCCCCCGCCCCCTGCCAGGTACTGCGACCAGCTGAAGGCCTCGGAGAGCACCCACGTCCTGCAGCCCTTCCTGCCCAGCGTCCTGGACGGCCTGATCCACCTGGCCACGCAGTTCAGCTCCGAGGTCCTCAACCTGGTGATGGAGACCCTGTGCATCGTCTGCACGGTGGACCCCGAGTTCACCGCGAGCGTGGAGAGCAAGATCTGCCCCTTTACCATCGCCATCTTCCTCAAGTACAGCAACGGTAGGCCGCCGGCCGGGGCGCGAGCCGACAGCGTCCCTGGGGCTGGGGGTCTTCCGCGCCCTACGCCGAGACCACGGCCGTCGGTTGGCAGAGCGCGGTCAGGCAGGCGGTGGGGCCGCAGCTCCTGAGCGCAGGCTCCCCTGTCGTCAGCCGACCCTCGGCCGGGGCCGGGGGCAGGGGGCGCCCAGGTCAGCCTGGCCGGGCAGGAGGATGTGGGGCGGCCGAGTCAGAGCCCCCCTGGGCTGCGTGTGCCTCCCGGGGCGGGCCCCGCGGCCGGCGCGTGTGCAGACCGGCGGGCGGGCCCTGCCGCCTTGTCCCCCAGACCCCGTCGTCGCCTCGCTGGCCCAGGACGTCTTCAAGGAGCTGTCCCAGATCGAGGCCTGCCAGGGCCCCATGCAGATGCGTCTGATCCCCACCCTGGTCAGCATAATGCAGGCGCCCGCGGACAAGATCCCCGCGGGGCTGTGCGCGGTGAGTGGGCGCCGAGCCGCCGGGGGACCCCCAGCGGGGGGACACCGGCAACGGCGGGGGCCAGGCCGTGCTTCCCGGCTGCCCTCCCCTGGGGGCGGGGAGGTTCTCGTTCCAGAGGCCCCCTCGTCCCTGGGAGGCCCCCTGGGGTGCAGTCCCTGCCGTGCACCGCCAGCCCCGTGCCCGTCAACTCGTGAGGCTCCCGAGGGGGCCGGGAGCCCACGCTCCCTTCCCGTCGTTCCCGCGCGTGCCCTGTCCGCTCGGCAGCAGCACGGCTGCGGGCCCCTCCCCGCCCCAGAGCGGTGCTGACCGCCCTGTGCCCCGCAGACGGCCATCGACATCCTGACCACCGTCGTCCGGAGCACGAAGCCCCCCCTGTCCCAGCTGCTCATCTGCCAGGCGTTCCCCGCAGTGGCCCAGTGCACCCTGCACACCGACGACAATGCCACCATGCAGGTGCCTCGGCCGCGTGGCCGGAAGGGCCCGCTCTGCGCTCCCCGCTGGGCTCGCCCGCGGGGCCTGGGCTTTGGGGTGTGGGCCGCACGGAAAGGGGGTCGCCCCTGTGTCTGGGGGTCGCCCGTGTAGCAGAGACGCAGGCGTGAACGCGGGGATTCTGGGAAGGCGCTCGGCGCAGGGGTGGCTTTTGGAAATCGCCAGGCCTCTGGGGTCATCCCCCCGCCCGGTCACGCTCCGTCCCGGACGAGCCGTTCCAGCCCCGGGGGAGGTCTTCGCCGCGGACGCGCGGCTCACGTGGCCCACGCCTCTGTGATCAGGACACACATCCGCGAGGCGGCCGAGCAGGCGGGGCAGGGGCCGGCGGGTGGGGCCCATGCCCGGCTGCTGATCTCGCCTGTCCCCCGTCCCCCCAGAACGGCGGAGAGTGCCTGCGGGCCTACGTGTCGGTGACGCTGGAGCAGGTGGCCCAGTGGCACGATGAGCAGGGCCACAACGGGCTGTGGTACGTGATGCAGGTGGTGAGCCAGCTGCTGGACCCCCGCACCTCCGAGTTCACCGCGGCCTTCGTGGGCCGCCTCGTGTCCACCCTCATCGCCAAGGCCGGGCGCGAGCTGGGCGAGAACCTGGACCAGATCCTCCGCGCCATCCTCAGCAAGATGCAGCAGGCGGAGACGCTGAGCGTCATGCAGGTGCCCGGACCGGTCCCCGGGCTCTGCCGCCCGCGCCCCGGGGGCGGGCGGACGGGCGGGGGGCTGCGCGGCCGCCGTTCCCTGACGGCCCCTCCCTCTCGCCGCCCCAGTCCCTGATCATGGTGTTCGCCCACCTGGTGCACACCCAGCTCGAGCCCCTCCTGGAGTTCCTGTGCAGCCTGCCCGGGCCCACCGGCAAGCCCGCCCTGGAGTTCGTGATGGCCGAGTGGACGAGTCGGCAGCACCTGTTCTACGGCCAGTACGAGGGCAAAGTCAGGTGGGCCTCCCCTCGCGCTGTGCCTCCCCGGCCCTGCGCCCCGGGCGTCCGGCGGTGTGTCCAGCCGCCCCTCGTGCCCCTGTCCCCATCTCGGTCGGCAGAAGGCCCCGCCTGCGGAGACTCCGCCCCGCCTCTGGCCCGGCCTCCACTCCTGGGCCGAGCCCTCCCCTCCGCTCAGCAGCGGCGAGCGCAGCGTTCGCCTCCCGAGGGCCTCGGGGCAGATGTCCCTGGGGCGGTGCCCTGCGGGCGGGGTGACCTGCCGCTGTCCCCGCAGCTCCGTGGCCCTGTGCAAGCTGCTGCAGCACGGCATCAACGCGGACGACAAGCGGCTGCAGGACATCCGCGTGCAGGGCGAGGAGGTCCACGGCGCCGACGAGGGCGTGCGCACCCGCTCCAAGGCCGCCAAGAGTGGGTGGCCCGGGGCCCGGGGAGGCGGGGGCGCCTGGGCCGCCGAGGATAGGGGGCCTGGGTGGCGGGGTGCGGTGGCCTCCACGCTCAGCCTGACTGCTAGGGGCAGGCTGGACAGGAGCAGAAAACGGGGGGGCGCAGGTCAGACCCTAGCGGTCCTTCCTGCTGCTGGCCATCAATAGACGCCGTCTTGGGCGCCAGGGACCTTGTGTCCGGCTCCCCCCGGGGCGTTGGTACCGAGTCCCCCCTGTCTTGGTCATCAGGTCGCCTTTGACCCGTGACCCAGTGACTTGGAGGCAGGGAGGGCCTTGCTGCCCCAACCTGCAGAGTAATCAGCCTGGGCCGCTTCGGAGCTGCAGGCCAGGCGGCTGGGGGGCTGGGCTCCGGGCACTTGCTTGGCAGCCCAGCTTTGTTACTGACGAAACCTCCCCTTTCCTGTCAACTCCCGTGTCCCGGTCGCACCAGGCCGATGGAGTGACTGGGTCTGGGAGGGCCAGCTGGGCACCACCGCAGAATGGGGAGTCGCCCGGGGAGCCCGGCAGGTCTGGTAGGAGGCCCCCTCTTTTCCCAGACCCTGAGCGCTGGACCAACATTCCTCTGCTGGTCAAAATCCTAAAGCTGATCATCAACGAGCTGTCCAACGTCATGGAGGCCAACGCCGCCCGCCAGGCCGCCCCCGCGGAGTGGGGACAAGGTGCCCAGCCCGGCCCCCGGGAGCCTCGCAGCCTGGCAGTCCCAGCCCCGGGGTCCAGGGTGTGTGGTTTGCGGAGTCGGGCGGAGGGCTGCCCCCAGGCCTGCCTGTGAGGCCGCGGGGCCGGGGTGCAGCAGGTGGGCGGCCCGCCACGTCCGCCCGCCCTGCCGCGCGCCTTCACGTCCCCACAGGACGTGCTCCGCCCGGGCCGTTCGCCCAGGCTCGTCCGCCTGCTGGGGTTCGGGGCGACAGCTGCTCTCATCTCCCCTAGACGACTCCAACGACATGTGGGAGGACCAGGAGGAGGAGGAGGAGGAGGAGGAGGACAGCCTGGGCGGCCAGCTCCTGTCGGACATCCTCGCGACCAGCAAATACGGTGAGCCGCGGCGGGGGGCCAGCCCGGGCGGCGGGGGGGGGGCTGGCGTGCCCCGGGGCTGCGGGCTCCGCCCTGACCCGCCGGCCGGCTGTGCCCGACAGAGGAGGACTACTACGAGGACGAGGAAGACGACGACCCCGACGCCCTCAAGGACCCTCTCTACCAGATCGACCTGCAGGTGCGGGCCTCCCGGGCCGGGGCGCCGCCCCCTCGCCGGTCCCGCTGCCGTGGGGGCCATGGGGGTCCCTGGGGCGGGCCGTGCAGGTGCCCTGGGGAACGTGGGTTTCCTGCGGCGTTTCGTCTCCTGTGGGCCCCACATCAAGGGTGTGCTGGGTGCTGGCGGGCGTGCGGGACCGTGTGTCCTGGACCCCGTGGGCCTCGTGCGGGGCAGCTGGCGGCCCTCCCTGACGCCCCCTCTCGCCCCCAGGCGTACCTCACGGACTTCCTCTGCCAGTTTGCCCAGCAGCCCTGCTACGCGGTGTTCTCGGGCCACCTCAGCGACAGCGAGAGGCGCGTGCTGCAGACCATCGGGATCTGAGGGCCGGGTCTGGGCGCCTGGGCCTGCAGTGGCCTCCGGCCCGGGCCTTCCTCTGCCGCGACCCTGACGACCGCGGAGGCCCGGCTCGTCGGTGCGATCGCTGAGCGATGCTGGGACGAGGACCTTCTCCACACCCCTCTGAAGACAGCCTGTCTCCAGGACCCCTTTCTCCCCAGCTGCGCCTCTCCGGTTCCCAGAGTCCTCTGCTGGCCAGTCCAGGAATGTGCTGCCCACGAGGGCGGTGAGGTCAGGGGTTGCGTGCCCTCCTCAGGGGCAAGGAGCCATGCCCGTCCGTGCCCTGGAGCGGCCTGTTCACGTCCACAGGCCCGTGGCGTGCGCAGGCGGGGGACCTCGGCCCTCCCGACAGACACGCCGGCTCTCCGGGCGGCTCTCGGTGGGAACGCGCCGAAGCCGCTGCCCGCTGGCCCCGGGGCCCCGCCTCCCGCGTGCGACGCCGCGGCTCCGTCAGACGAGTCGTCCCCTGTGTGCATGACGGCCCCCTCGCTGCTCCGCGTGCACACGTGTGCACACATGGAGGAAGCCAGGCAGACGGCAGCCTGTTTTTCCGTTTTTAGGGAAGAAAACAGGGAAAACAGACTTTTTTAAAGCCCACCCTCCCCAACTATATTTAATACCCCCCCACTGACACTCGGGTCGCCCTCTCCCTCAGGACTCCGCTGCGCGGCGAGCCGTGGCCCCAGATTCGCAGCGTGTATTTTTCTAGGCGAGTAAAGTCATCTTTACCGACATGCTGAGCCCGCACCTCCGCCTCTTCCCTGCGAAGTGGGGCTGGGGCCGGGTGGCCCGCGGTGACGCTGCTGGCCCCACGCCGGGTCCGTCCTGGGCCTGGGAGCGTCGGGAGGAGGCCTGGGAGGAGGGCCGCGCCCAGGGCTCCCTCGCCTGCCAGGCCCACCTCTGGCGTGACCCTGTGGGCCGGTGGCCTCACGAGCAGGGAACGGAACAGGAAGTGAGTTCAGTCCAGGTCTCCAGGAGGGGTCCCTGCGTGGGGCGTTTGCAGGACGGTTTCGTGTCCCTGGGGGTCCAGCACCCCATCCCCTGTCGAGCCAGGAAGGATGTGTGTCTGCTGCCCACCAGCTCAGCCCTGAGGCCGCCTCCACTGTCTCCCTCTGAGCCAGGGTCTCCCAGGCGCTGGGAAGCCGCACGCCTGGCCTCGGGGGAAGCATCTGAAGGCCGCCCAGAGCGGCCCCGACAGCTGGGGGGCCCGGGGCCACCCACGGCCTGCTCGCCTGCCTCCCCCGGGCTTGGGTCCCAAAGGAAGGTCCCGGGATCGGGGCGGCCCTGCCCCTCAGACACCGGCTGGTGAGCGCTGTGTGCAGAGCACTCGCCCTGGGCCGTCTCTCACCGTGGGTGCTGTTCCCACTGTGGCCCCGGGGTCGGGGCGGGAGGGAGGAATGGGGCCCCGGGGTGAGCCGGCCACTGCTCCTCTCCTCTGGGCTGAATAGACCCGCTTCGCTCTGGGCAGGGCAGGGCAGGGCTGGCCGGCCAGGAGTTGAGGCTCAAGATGAGACGGGGCAGGGAGGGAGCCCCGGGCCACCCTGAGGTCCTGTGCACCACGTGACCCTGCTACAGGCCGGCTGCAGCCCCCAGGGCTGTCCCACGATTTGCTGAACATGGTGGACAGAATTGCAGGGAAGGGGAGGGGGGCTGGAAGCCAGAGGAGGTAAAAGCCTGAAAAAGGAAGCCAATTGTCACAAGTCACTTGCTGACCGACTGCCGGTTGCAGAGCGTAATTTGCACGCAAGCAGGACGTGCGAGCCAAGCGCGTGGCACAGGCCCGTCTCAGCAGACCGGGGGGGGGGGGGGAGTGCCTGGGCAGACAGGGTCAGCGGCCACTTGCCAATCAGCAGGCGCGAAGGCCCCGGGGCTCTGCTCTGATGGTAGTGACCGGGAGGGCCCTTGCTGCCTGATCCATTCCGAAGGGAAGCTGCGGCCACTTGCAAAAGGCACAGGCAGACAGGAGAGATGCTGGTCAAGCTTTGGGACACCTTTAGGAGGGGCAACCACGGAGGGTCCAGGCCAGGGGGCCTGCTGGCTGTGAGGATGGGGGCGGGGCCGGGGAGGGCAGGCAAAGGCAGCCCTGGCTCCCGCTGCTGGGGCAGGGGCGCGCTCAGGCCGGCACTGTGGGGGCCTTTGCACGTCCGTCCAGGCAGGACTGGAAGGTGAGGGCCTGTCCCTGTCCTGCCCGCCCCTTGGAGGTGAGAAGCGGTTGCCAGAGACCCGGGGAGGGGGGAGCTGGGCTGTCTGCGCCTGGGCGCACCGGGGCCTCCCGGCACCTGTCTGGCCCTGGGCCGGGGCAGCCGCGCTGTCAGCAGGCAGACCCCGTCCTTCCTTGGGGGCCGGGACAGGGGCGCCCCAGGGCCCTTCCGTGAGCTGCGTAGCGTCTGCGGGGCCCTTGTGCCCCGCCCCGGTCCCCTCACCTCAGAGCACTGGGGAGACTCAACTGCCCACACCACCCACTTCCGGGGTCGGGGACCCGTTGCGGCCCTGCCGTCCCCTGGGTCACCGGCGCTGCCCTTGGGCTACTGGGGTCTCCAACGAGGCCTGCCAGCCTCACGGGACCCATGGAGCTGCGGGTTCCCGTGTCCAAGCTGCGTGCTCGACGGGGTCTGTCCGAGGCTTTCCCCCTCGCCCGGCCTGCGGGCCCCGATCAGGGCACCCACGTAGCACGGGCGGGTGCCGTCCCCAACAGCCCAGGTGAACCTGGGGGGCTGAGGGGCCCACCAGAAGACGCTGCACCTGCTGGGCCCTGCCCTCCCCTGCCTGCGGCCAGGCGGCGCTTCTGCAGGCTGCGGGGTGCGGGAGTGGCGCCTGCCCAGTGCCATCGTGACCAGCGAGGCCACCGCCCGGGTGCGCCAGCACCGTCCGCTTGCGGGGGAGGGGCCCTCGTGCAGCTGCGGACAAAGCTGCTCTGAGCCGCCACTCAGTGGGGCCTGTGTCCTGCGAGTGGGGGCGGGGCACCCAGTGTCCAACTGGCTGGACACTGGGACACAGGGACGGTCTGGCCCTGCCCCTCTAGGGTTCACCCATGTGCCTGGGCAGGGGCCACCGCGGAGGGAGGGGACAAGCACGTGGCTGGGGCGTGGCCGGCGGCAGGGTCACCGGGATCCGGCCTGGGCCCTCCCGGCAGCTGCGGCCCCCGTGGCGCCTTTGCTCCTGCCATGTGGCTGCCGCCGGCCGTCGCCCTCCTGGTGCTGGGGGCTCCCCTGGGTAAGGGCAAGGGCCGGGAAAGGGTCCCGAGGGCGCGGGGCTGTGGGCAGTGGGCAGGGAGCTGGAGGGGAAGGGGATGGAGTCCGGGCCCCAGAAACCGCCCGTGGGCCTGGCTGAGCCCGTCGGGGAGGAAACAAGGGGCAGCTCTCAGGCCGCAGGCACCACGGGGGGTGAGGGCCGTGAGGCGGGGCCAGGGCAGGCAGAGGACCGGCCTGGCAGCCCCCGGGCCCGCGCCCTGCCCGCAGCGCTGGCCGGCACGAGCTGCCTGGGGCACCTGGACGAGAACCACGCCTGGCGCCCGGGGTTTAGCTGCCCGCCCTTCGCCTTCTGCTGCGGGACCTGCCACCGTCGGTTCTGCTGCAGGGACGCGAGCCTGGCCATCTCCGAGTCTCAGCAGAGGCACTGCCTGCGCTTCAGGTGGGCCAGCTGCTCCCCAGGCCCGCCCGTCCGCCCCGCCCCGAGCCCCCACCCCGCCGGCTGGGCTGGGGCGCCCTGGGTCCCCGCCGGCTTCGTGGGGGCGCCAGACGGCACCCGATCGCGGGCGGCGCTGTGGGAGGGGGCGGGTCTGACCCCCAGGTCCGCTGCCCAGTGGCGGGGTGGCGGGGGTCCCGTCACGCCCCCCGGGGGGCCGCGAGGTGCGAGGTCCCGTCGTTCTGTCTCAAGTCACAAGGTGATAGCAGGCGTCGCCTCAGCCCTGATCCTCTTTGTGGCCACGGCCGCCACCGCGCTCTGCTGCTTCTTCTGCACCTGCCGCTACCTGTCCCGCAGGCGGCGGCGGCTGCTGAGCCCCTTCGCAGGTACGGATGGCGCCGGGCACGAGGGGCGGACAGGGGGGGCCGCGCCTGGGGCGGCAGGAGCTCTGGGTGCGCGAGCTCCGCGCACGCGCCCGCCGGGGGCGCGGGGGCGCCGGCACGTGACTTCAGCCGCGCGGAGCCGCCCCCAGCAGGGGGCGCGCGCGGGTCCTGCTGGCGTGGGGCGCCCGCTAAGGGCAGGGGATCCGGAGTTACGAGCGTCCTGCTGTGTGTGAGCGATGGGCCCGGGGATGGGGGCCTTGGGGAGGTGGGGACAAGGGCTGGGGGTCCGCAGGGGACAGCTCTGTGGGACAACGAGGTGCCACCAGCCGCGGGCTGCCCTCTCAGGCTCCTGAGGTCTGGGAAACCTGCGGGGTCGACTGGCCGAGTCCAGGGCGACCCGCCGGGGCGTGCCCCGCTCCCTGCCCGACGCTGACCAGCAAGGTCTGGAGGCCGCCGGCCTTGGTCCCCTGGGCAGGAGGCGACGGCGCCCGTGGGAGGGGAGCCCCCGTGGTGACCCGTCTCCCCCACCTAGGCCCGGAGATTCCGCTGACAGGCTACCTGGTGCAGCCTGTGTCCCTGCACCCCCGGGGCCCCGGGGCCCCGCCGCCCGGCGTCGCGGGGACTCCCCAGCACCCTCTCCACCCTGCAGGTGAGCGCGCCGTCTGCGGCCCCGCCCGCCCGGGGACCTCCGTCCCGTGTCCGGCGCCCCGCCTCGCGCTGAGACCGCCCCGCTGGCTCGCCCCACACTCGCACGCGGGGGTGGGGGGGGCGCGCGCTTCACGTTCTCCTGAGTCCCGCCCTCACCCTGACCCTTGGCTTCCAGCTCTGCCGCCGCAAGTGCAGCCGCAGCCCGCCTTCCCCGGAGCCTGAGGCACCCGTGCTCCCTGCTGTCCCTCCATGGATGCCCCTCCTGGCTCGGAGTCTGGCTCGTCAGGCTCCCGACCGAGCCGCGCCCTGGGCCTGCAAGGGACTGCGCCCCAGGGAAGTGGGTGGAGCGGGGCTGCAGCTTGGCCATGAATGGAGGCAGGGGCGGGGGCCCGGGGCGCTGCCCTGAGTTAATCGGGGACCAGGGAAGGACGCGCCCGCGTGGGTCACAGCCCCCTGTTTCGTGCGGCCCCTCTGCCCCCGGAACCTCCGTTTGCCCCTGTGGGCTGGGGCGCGCCCCGCCTGGCTGCTGGAATAAAGCGAGAGCGGGAGCGCGCGTGGCCCAGCGTCCTCCCTGCCCGGAGACACGCCTGCGCGGGGCCCCGTGAGAGGCCTGGGTGGCAGGCACGGGGATTCCACGTCAGAGCCAGCGCTCTGTGCGCGCGGGGCGCAGGGGGCAGGCTCGTCGGCCGGAGACCCCACTGGCTTCCCCGCCACAGGCAGGCGCGGAGCAGGACGGGCCCGTTTGGGTTCTTACACCCTGGGTGACTCCGCGGGAGGCCGGGCGGCCAGGCGCGGGGAGGGTGACGTCACACGGGCGGGGCGCTGCGCGCGGCCCGCCACCAGGGGGCGCTGCGCTCCTGCGTCAGCCGCGGCGCCGGCGGCGACGTCCCGGAGGTCGGCGGCTTCCCTGCGGCCGGGAACGGGGTGTCCTCCGCGCGGCTAAGCTTCGTCCCCAGTCGGGCGGGGGCGAAACTCCCCGCGCAGCGCGAGCGCCTGGCTCAGCCCCCGGGGCGGCCGCGGAGGGTGCGCCGGGGCCCGAGCGCCGCACCTACGGCCGGCCCGCTCTGCGCGTTCGGCCGGATCGCAAAGGCGGAGAAACGGCCCGCTCCGTGCTCCCGGCCGCCGCCGCAGCGCACGGCGCCAGGAGAGCCCCGTCCATTAAGCCATCGAACCAGAGGGATGCCCGTGGTGCTCCCCGGGGGAGGGCCCGAGAGTCGGGGGGAGTCAGAGGGTGAACGTGCCTGATGAGGCCCCGGTCCTGGGTGCCTCCGGCTGTGGCTGGGGACCTCCAGGGGCCGGGGCGGGGCGCGCGCAGGACGGAGGTGGATGGGCTCGCAGCTGAAGGCTTGTATATATTATCAAAATCTCATGGAAAAATACAGCCACTCAACAGCAGCAGGTGGGCGTAGGGAAACGTCTGCTTTGGCATCGAACCTTCAGGTCCGGCTGCTGCCTGTCCGTCTGTCTCCTCCCCCCCACAGACACCTCCATCCAGGCCGGCTGCCCGCCGCCCTGTGTCCTGCGGGGGAAGGGGGCGGCTGGGGTATCCCCAGCCCCTCGTCCCCCTCCCCCCTCCATCTTCTGCCCCTGCCGCACATGGGGCAGGGTGCCACCGGCCCAGCAGCGTTGCCCAGGGCTCCTCAGAGGCCTGAATCCTGGCCCTGGGGGCGCGGCGCCGTGGGCCCGGTGGGACCCCCTTCCTGGATCCCGCCGGCATGCCACCTTCTGAGGGACGTGCGGATAGGCCTCTGCTTGTCCTGGACCATCAGCTCCGCGTGCAGAGGGAATGCTGGGCGGGAAAGCATGGCCCGGGCCTGCAGGGCCCCCACGGGCCAGGGACAGGGCGGCGGGCCGGCCGGGGTGGGGTCTGCGCGGCCCTGGAGGGCAGGGCCCGGCAGCTGGAGCTACTGCAGCAGTTTGGGCACCTCCACCTGTAAGGACAAAGCAGAGGGTAAGGGGGCGGCTGGGGGGCGGGAGGCAGACACCGCAGCCTGGGCCTGGGGGCGAGGGCCCGGGGCAGCTCTCCCTGCGGGAAGAGCGGGTGCCCTCAGCGACCGCGGGGCCACGGCGTGCTCGCCCTTTCTCCCCTGCTGCGCAGTCCCCGGCGCGCTGTGGGGCGGGCCCATTGACACGCCCCCACCCCAGGGAGAAGCCGCCCGGTGGCCGGTGGCCCTGGCACTGCCCGTTGTGGGGGGGGGCCCTGCGGGGGGCTGGCGCCCGAGGACAGGCTGTGTGTGGCCTCTTGGAGGAGGCGCAGCCTGGCAGGAAGGACAGCCTCCTTTGGGGACAGAGGTGCTGCCTGGAGGCAGGGGCGGCCGATGGCCCTGGGCGCCCTGTGCTGCCTGCAGTCTGACCGGCCCCCTCTGCCTGTCCGCTCTGGGGTAACCCCCCCCCGCCCCCGCCCCAGCCACTTAACTTCTTGAGCTGGCTCAGGTTGCTGGAGCGGATGGCGGCCAGCAGCTGGTCGCGGGAGTTCTTCTCCTGGGCGGGGAGGACCTTGTCCCCCATCTTCCTCTGCGTGGCTGGCGAGAGCGAGCTCCTCAGGCTCTCCACCGCGAGTGGTGGGGCCAGGGGCGGCGGCGGGGGAGGCGGGGCGGCCGGGACGCCCCCCGTCTTGGGCGAGTTCTTGGGCGAGACCTTGGGTGAGGGCTGGGGAGAGGGGCCGGGCGAGCCCTTGGCCGGCGCCCCCGCCTTGGGCACCTCCAGCAGCCCCTTCCTCTCCGCGGCGGCCTCCTGCGCCTGCCGCTCCTGCAGGCGCTTCTGGCGCTGCCGGTCCATGTTGCGGCTGAGCAGGTTGGTGACGGTCATGCGGGGCCCCGCCAGCTCGAAGTGGTAGCCCAGCTTGAGCAGCGTGGTGTTCTCCTTGAGCAGCCTGGCGATCTCCATCTCCGTCTTGCCGCCGCAGATGTGCCGCTGGTTATGGAAGCGCAGCTCGGTCAGCGTGCTGTTCTGCAGCAGCGCCCGGAAGATGGCCAGGATGCCCTTGCCCGTGATGTGGTTGGAGTCCAGGTTGAGGCTGGCGATGGTCTTGTTGCCCTTGAGCATCATGGCGATGGCAAAGGCCACGTGGTCGTCGGCACGCGTGTTGGCCAAGGCGAACACCTTGACCACCGTGTTGAACTCCAGGGCCTCGGCGAAGCGCACCAGGATCTCGTTGGTGATGCAGTCGGAATTGTTGACGTTCACCTCGGTCATGCTGGGGTCGTTGGTCCGCACTTTCTCCAGGGGTTCGTCGAAGATGCTGGGCGCCGCCTCCTCCTCTGCCTGGGCCGGCGCCTCGGGGGGCTTGGCGGGGCCGCGGGGGGTCTGCTCCTCGGCAGCCTCCGGCTTCCTCTCCGCCTCCGGCTTCCTCTCCGCCTCCGGCTTCCTCTCTGCCTTCGGTTTCCTCTCCTCCACGGGCCCCCGTGGGTGGGGGGCCTCCTCCTGCTTGACTTTCTCCTCCTCCTTTCTCGCGTCGCCGCCCCCACTCGCCGGCCTCGGCTCCTGCCCCTCCTGCCCCCCAGCTTCCGCGTGCTCAGCCCCTTCCTTTACCTTCCCGTCCTCTCTCTTCTTGTCCTTGTCCTTGTCCCTGCTCACCCCGGCGCTCCTGTCCCTGCCTCTCAGCTCCTCCTCCTTCCTGGGGGCCGCCCGGCCGTCCCCCCGGCCGTCCCCCCGGCCGTCCCCCCCCGCCTCGGTCTTGTCCACGGCGGCCCGCACCCGGCCCCTGTCGATGCCCCGGATCAGCTTCTCCCTGGGCTGCTGGGCGCTGTGGCCCTCAGAATCCTCTTGGTCTCTGGAGAAGCTTTTCTTCAGGGCCCCCCGCCTGGGCGCCCGCCCCAGGTCCGAGTCCCGCCGGGGGCCCAGGGCCCTCCTGCCGGCGCCGCCGCCCCTCTCCGCGGCGTCTTTGGCGTCCGCCGCGGCCTCCGCTGGCTTGCTCTCCTAGGAATTCAGAAAAGAAAACAAACATGAGGACCCGGCTCCCGGGGGGACAGGGATGACGGTGGGGACCGGCGGGGGCGCTCGCGTGCCCGCGAGGAGGACCCTGGAGAGGGGCCGGGGCTCGGGGGACGCGGTGAGGCCGCCGATGGGCCCCTCCCAGGCCCCCGGGCCAGCGCCGCCCTTGGCGGCCCCGTGGCGTGGACGAGAGGGCCCAGGTGGGGCCCCGCTGAGCCGCGTGGGAACCCGAGGCAGGAGGAACACCCTCGCCTTCTGGCCCTGTTTGATTTACAACTTTGAATGTGTGTTCATCCTGGCGTTTGGCGTCCCACTGGGTTTTTTTATAGCGACCACGGGAACGCCCATCGTCTCAGACAGGATGCTGCCCCGTGCGGCCGGCGTCCGGGCTGCGCCCCCGTGCCCCCTCGCCCCCTCGCTCGGCCCCGGCCCGGCCTCGACACGGGGCCCGACACCAGTCCCCTTTCAAGGCGGGGACGACGGGCGGAGGGGCTAACGGAAACGGCCGACGCTTTGTTCTACGCCCTGCGGGCGCTCTGACGCTCTGTCCACGGTCCGTCTCCAGACGAGGAGGGAGCGAGGGCAGACCTGTACGTCAGGCGCGCGTGGCTTTCTGATACTCCACGCTACTTCCCTGCCTCCTTCCCCGGGGGAAGCTTTGCTAAGGACCGGACCTGCCTGTGGGAGCCCCGGGGCCGGCCGGGCCGGCCAACGCCAGGGTCCAGGGCCCCGCGGCCCCACTGTGGCCTCGCAGGCACTGGGGAGCAGCGCCGTGGGGCTGGGGGTGCTGCGCAGCAGGGCCCGCCCCTCCCGGGGCTCCTTCTCCACAGAGGCGCGGGCGTGGGAGCCGCAGGCTGCGAGCACTGGCTTCCCCGCCTGGCGGGGCCGTGGGGGTGGGGGAGCCCGGGAGGCAGGGCCGTCTGAGAGCAAAGATGAGCGCCACCCACGGGGACGCAGACCCCAGCGCTCGCTCGCCGTCTCAGGGGCTGTGAGGGAGGCTCCTGCCCTTGGGGGGCGGGGCCATGGCAGGGGAGGGAAGGGGGATGCGCCGGCGCCCCCTGCGCCCCCCTGCCCCCGACGGTGGAGACAGTTTGTACCTGCAGCGCCAATGCCCCAGGGTTTATTTAGCAGCAAAAGTCCTCGGCTCCCCAGGGAGAGTCGCAGCAGGCGGCCAAGGGGCACAGGGCCTGGTGAGAAAGGCCCTTGGAATGTGCCCTCCCTCCTCTGCTCCCCGGGCCGGGGCAGCTGCAGGGCACTCGGGGGGCTGGGGGGGGCCCCCACACTCGCTCCGGCTCCGGCGACCGGCTGTGACCCGTGGGTCACCCTCCCGGGCTGGGGCAGAAGGGGCTGGGACGTGACCGAGCCTCGATTTGAATGCAGGCGAGGAAGACAGGAAATGCACAAAACAGTCACAGGAGCCTGGCAGGGGACCTCTCAGGGCCGGACACGCCTGTGACCCGCCCGCGGTCCGGCCAGCACACCGCCGCCCCGTCCCCACGCCTCGTCCGAGGGTCTCAGCGCAGGGCCCCTCCAGGAGCTTGGAGGCGGCAGCCGCAGCCCCCAGCAGGCCCGGCCGCGGCCCTGCCCGGCGCCCTCTGCCGAGTTCCCGTGCCACTCCCAGGCCTCACGTAGACGACACCGGGGATCCGGAGAGATTAAAATTTAACCACTTTCACCCACACGTTCAGGAAAAACTGGGCTTCAGACCTGTGTCAGGAGCGGCAACTGAGTCGCCCCCGCCCCGACCTCCCCCAGCCTCCCCCCCGGGGCCCCGCTGCCCATGGCACCCCGAGCCCAGACCCCATCAGGCAGGGCCCCCCAGGGCCGCCCCCACTCCCTTGGGGCACCCCTGGCCCTGTGGGACCTGCCACGTGCCTGTGCCTGGGGAGGGTGCCAAGCCTTTAAAAAGAGCCTCGTGGAAAACAGGCTGCGGGCGGAGGGCTGATTGGCCGGCTCCCTCCGAGCCGCGGGCTGGGGCGGCCGCGGCGGCCACCTTGCCTTAAAAGGAGAAGGAGCTGTCCTGGGGCTGGGGCTGCCTGCGGAGAGCTCCGTGCCGCCGCTGCCGCCTCCGAGCGGGAGCCCGGCCAGCCGCTCCGCTCCCGGGGCTGGGGGTGCACCCTGGCGGCCCAGAGGCTGTTCCTGGCGGAGCTCCTGCCTGCAGGCTCGCTGGGCGACGCCCCTCGCAGCCGGAGCCGAGGGGCTCCGCTGGGACACGGCCACGTTGCCCCGCGGAGCAGGGGCCTCCTTTCCTTCGGGGAAGCGTGGGGGCTGAGGGAGCGTGGCGGGGGTTTGGGAGCCCCTCCCGGAGACGGGGATGCAGAGGGGGACCCCTGGGAACCTCCCACGGCCCGTGACACATGCAGGGACCTAGCTGTGCGCTCCCACCCTGTCTTCTCCAGGCCGCGTGGCCACATGACGTGGCTCTCGGTCTGTCAGAGGGGTGGGATCCACGGGAAGGGTCCGGCAGGTTCTGCGGAGCGGAGCCCGGGCCCCGGGCCCCCTGCACCACGCCCTCCGCGAGCCTTAGCTGACTGACCAGAGCAAGCCCGCCGCCTGCACCGCAAGGGGCGGAGGAGGCGGCCTGCCGTCTAAGCCAAGCCCCTGAACCACGAGGCCCAGCCCTGCGAGCTCAGGCCACACCGAGGCCCTCTGCTTCGCCAGGGACCCGTTGCGGCGGCAGAGGTCTCTGCAGGGGACCCTGTTGCCCTGGGCGTACGCGCGGGCTGCGGCCTGGCTCCCGAGGGCGGCCCCCGGCCCGGCTGACCCGCGCCGCCTCGGAGGCGCAGAGCCCCGGGCCCGGGGCCTGCGTTCATCCCTCCCCCGGCGCCAGGCCCAGGCAGTGGCCGCGGGATGGTCGGGGCCCGCAGTGCTCCGCCTGCCGGTGGCCAGAATGTCCCGGCTCAGGCTTCTGGCTGGGGGCAGGGGCTGTCCCCAGACCTCGGCCGATGTCCCTGCGGACACAGCGCAGGGCGTACGCAGCGAGCGCATCACAAGACCTCGTCCCGGCGGCTCCTCGGAGGTGGCTGGGGCCAGGGCCACGCTCCCTGCGGCCCCCGGGGAGAGCAGCCCCGGGCCGGGCGGCCTCGGGGGGCAGGACAGGCAGGAGCCCCAGGCGCGTGGGCCTGCCGCCACCTGGGGTGCCAGGTGCCCCGGCAGGGGTTCCAGGAGGCCCCCCTCAGCCCGCCGCTGGGGCCCCGCCACGGCAACGCAGCTTCCCCACACCAGCGCCGCACGGGGCCTGGCACAGGCTCGCAGCGGAAGGGCCCGTGTGGGCCCGGGCGGCGTGGCGGCTCCGTGGGTTGGCTTCGCCCCTCAAAGCGAAAGGTGCCGGTGTGGTCCCCAGTCAGGGCGCGTAGGAGAGGAAACTGATCGACGTTTCTCTCCCTCGCTCCCTCCCTCTCTAAAGACAGACAAATACATGAATATTAAAAAATAAAAAGAAAGAGCCCTGGTTGGTGCGGCTCAGTGGACTGAGCGCCGGCCCATGACCAAAAGGGTCGCGGGTTCGATTCCCAGTCGGGGCACAGGCCTGGGTGGCGGGTCAGGTCCCCAGAAGGGGGCGCATGAGAGGCGACCACACGTGGATGTTTCCCTCCTCTAAAAATAAATAAAACTTTTTTAAAAAATGAAAAGAAAGGGGCCTGTGTGCTCCATTTGGGGACACACGTGAAGTGAGGGGGTGGGATGGGGCCGCCTCACTGCTGCTGGGGGGTGGGAGGGGAAGCCCAAAGGCGGGGCGGCCGGGGAGCCAGGGGCAGGGCTGGCCGGGGAGGCGGCGGATGGACAGAGGCGAGACCCCCGCGAGTCGGACAGAGGCCAGCGCCAAGCCCCAGGCGCCAGCTCTGTCCCCGCCTTCCTCCTTGGTCCCCGGCACTGAGCAGCCAGGTGGCCCAGTTCACCTCAAGCTACCGGCCGCCCCCGACCGGCCACCCAGCAGCCCGGCCCTCCCCTGGCGCCTCCGGGGCCCGGGGGCCCGTCTCTGGGACGAGGCCGCAGCCCCCGCAGCTCACCGGGCCCCCGGCTGCGGGGAGGGTGAGTGCGTCTCACGTCCCGCGACATGGACGGTGTCGCTTGCTAAATGCGGACACTTCCCAGGGAATAGACTCAGAATGGCCTTCCTTTTCAAGGCTGGGGCCCACACACCAGCGTGTGGATGCCCCACCTCGGGGTCCCGCCCTCCACGGACAGACGCGCGGCCGGACCTGCGACGGGCTGTGTGCGCAAGGCCGGGCTGTCCGAGGCCGGCGGGCGTGGCCTCAGCGGCGCCTTGTCCGCACCACCTGCCCCCGGCTCCCCCTCCGATCCAGTGTGTCCGGCCGCCCGGGGGGGCCGCCCGGGGGGCAGCGGCCCTCTGCCGGTCGAGGGCACGCCCCGCGCTGCCTGGCCCTGGGCTGTTCCCCGCAGCAGCGCACCTGGGCGCCCGCCCTGCGGGCCCTGTAAGGGCTGTGCGGGCAGCGTGACGATGGGCCAGACGGCAGGGGGCGGGGGCGACTTTCAGGAAGTCAGCGGCTCACGGCTCTGCCCCCGCCCCCCGGACCCCGAGCCGCACATGCCCGGAGGACAGGCTCCTGCCCCTACTTCCCGGGAGTGGACAGAAACCACGAGTGGACGGGACGCACCAGCCTCCCAGCGCCGGGGGGTGCGCCAGTGCCGGCCGGAGGCCCTGCCTTGGCCTCTGGGCCACTGTGGCCTCCCAGGACTGTCTCCACCTCCGGGCAGAGTGGTGGCCGGGGGACGGCCGAGGTTGGTGACCCGGGGGCACAAGGACACTCTCGGACGCCGTCCCATGGGAGCGAGCGCTGGCCGCACAGCATCTGCTTCGCCGTGTAAGTGGGGAGGCGGGGGCGTGTCGGGAGGTGGGGCTCTTGCCTGAAACGTCGGGCCAGCCAGCGCCCCCGCATCCTCGAGGGACGGAAGTGGGGGAGAGTCGGGGGGCGGCAAAGAACGCTGCGTGGTCCTCGCTGCCCCCAGTGCCGGGCGGGCGG